TAATATATATTAGACTGATACAAATTAAATACAGGCCAGGCAACAGACTAAAATATACTTAACACTAAAACTAGGCTACAAATCAGACTATACTATAAAATAGACGATAGACTATACTACAGAGCAGAGTATAGACTAGACTATTGACTAGACTACAGAGTAGAGTATAGACTATAGATTAGACTATAGACTAAACTATGGACTAAACTAAACTATTGTCTAGACTATAGACTAGACTATAGACTAGTCTATAGACTAAACTATAGACTAGACTATCAACTAGACTAGACTATCGACTAGACTATAGACTGGACTATAGACTAGACTACAGACTGGACTATAGACTAGACTACAGACTGGACTACAGACTAGACTATAGACTAGACTATAGACTGGACTATAGACTAGACTATAGACTAGACTATAGACCAGACTATAGACTAGGCAAAAGACTAGGCTGGAGAATAGACTAGACTATAGACTAGGCTGGAGAATAGACTAGACTATAGACTAGACTATAGACTAGACTATAGACTAGACTATAGACTAAACTATAGATTATAGACTAGATTAAAGACTAGACTATAGACTAGACTATCGACTAGACTATAAGCTACAGAATGGACTACAGACTATAGACTATAGACTAGACTATAGACTAGACTATAGACTAGACTATAGACTAGACTATAGACTAGACTATAGACTAGACTATAGACTAGGACTATAGACTAGACTATAGACTAGACTATAGACCTAGACTATAGACTAGACTATAGACTAGACTATAGACTAGACTATAGCTACAGAATGGACTACAGACTATAGACTAGACTATGGACTAGACTATAGACTAGACTATAGGACTAGACTATAGACTAGACTATAGACTAGACTATAGACTAGACTATAGACTAGACTATAGACTAGACTATAGACTAGACTATAGACTAGACTATAGACTAGACTATAGACTAGACTATAGACTAGACTATAGACTAGACTATAGACTAGACTATAGACTAGACTATAGACTAGACTATAGACTAGACTATAGACTAGACTATAGACTAGACTATAGACTAGACTATAGACTAGACTATAGACTAGACTATAGACTAGACTAGACTAATATAGACTAGACTATAGACTAGACTATAGACTAGACTATAGACTAGACTATAGACTAGACTATAGACTAGACTATAGACTAGACTATAGACTAGACTATAGACTAGACTATAGACTAGACTATAGACTAGACTATAGACTAGACTATAGACTAGACTATAGACTAGACTAGACTATAGACTAGACTATAGACTAGACTATAGACTAGACTATAGACTAGACTATAGACTAGACTATAGACTAGACTATAGACTAGACTATAGACTAGACTATAGACTAGACTATAGACTAGACTATAGACTAGACTATAGACTAGACTATAGACTAGACTATAGACTAGACTATAGACTAGACTATAGACTAGCTATAGACTAGACTATAGACTAGACTATAGACTAGACTATAGACTAGACTATAGACTAGACTATAGACTAGACTATAGACTAGACTATAGACTAGACTATAGACTAGACTATAGACTAGACTATAGACTAGACTATAGACTAGACTATAGACTAGACTATAGACTAGACTATAGACTAGACTATAGACTAGACTATAGACTAGACTATAGACTAGACTATAGACTATAGACTAGACTATAGACTAGACTATAGACTAGACTATAGACTGACTATAGACTAGACTACTATAGACTAGACTATAGACTAGACTATAGACTAGACTATAGACTAGACTATAGACTAGACTATAGACTAGACTATAGACTAGACTATAGACTAGACTATAGACTAGACTATAGACTAGACTATAGACTAGACTATAGACTAGACTATAGACTAGACTATACTAGACTAACTATAGACTAGACTATAGACTAGACTATAGACTAGACTATAGACTAGACTATAGACTAGACTATAGACTGGACTATAGACTAGACTATAGACTGGACTATAGACTAGACTGGGCTATAGACTAGACTAGACTATAGAATAGGACTATAGGACTAGGACTAGGCTATAGACTAGACATTACTCATAATCAAGATTTGAAAATTGTTTGCTGGAAAATAACTCTTGCATTAATTTTTGTTGCAATAATAAAATGAATAATGTTTATTTCCGAGAAACTTTTATAAATAAATTACCAACGGTATAGAGAAGATAAGGTTAAAGTAAATGAATTTGTATGGTGAACGAAGACAGATTGATGGAAATCAAACGGACCTTTGAATGTAAATGAATGAAGAATGTATAATGTTGGGTTTTTAATTAAAATTATCATTATTTTTGTTGTATAAAGTTATTATTTATACCTCCTTGATGTTGTGTACATTTGCAAAATTAAACTTTTATTTATATTTTTTATATAAAAGACTCTGACCTATTTATTACCAATTTGTTTAAAAAGAATCTGTTGAATGGTACTTTGACGACTTCATTCATTCGTTAAATAATTAATGATAATGTCAAAGATAAATTTACTTTTAAGATCTCATGACGCTCTTATACGAAATCTTTTTATTGTCAAGAAATACATAATGTGACAGCAAAAAATGAGTCAACGGGTGACCAAGTGCGGTTTTGTAAATCTGGTTAAGTAATAGTCTAGTCTATAGTCCTACTCTAATAATCTAGTCTATAGTCTTAGTCTAATAGTCTAGTCTTAAGTCTAGTCTATAGTCTAGTCTATAGTCTAGTCTAAGTCTAGTCTATAGTCTAGTCTATAGTCCTAGTCTATAGTCTAGTCTATAGTCTAGTCTATGTCTAGTCTATAGTCCTAGCCTTAAGTCTAGTCTAATAAGTCTAGTCTATAGTCTAGTCTATAGGTCCTAGTCTATAGTAGTATATAGTCTAGTCTATAGTCTAGTCTAATAGTCTAGTCTATAGTCTAGTCTATAGTCTAGTATAGAGTCTAGTCTATAGTCTAGTCTATAGTCTAGTCGATAGTCTAGTCTAATAGTCTAGTCTATAGTCTAGTCTATAGTCTAGTATAGTCTTAGTCTATAGTCTAGTCTATAGTCTAGTCTATAGTATAGTCTAGTCTATAGTCTAGTCTATAGTCTAGTCTATAGTCTAGTCTATAGTCTAGTCTATAGTCTAGTCTATAGTCTAGTCTATAGTCTAGTCTATAGTCTAGTCTATAGTCTAGTCTATAGTCTAGTCTATAGTCTAGTCTATAGTCTAGTCTATAGTCTAGTCTATAGTCTAGTCTATAGTCTAGTCTATAGTCTAGTCTATAGTCTAGTCTATAGTCTAGTCTATAGTCTAGTCTATAGTCTAGTCTATAGTCTAGTCTATAGTCTAGTCTATAGTCTAGTCTATAGTCTAGTCTATAGTCTAGTCTATAGTCTAGTCTATAGTCTAGTCTATAGTCTAGTCTATAGTCTAGTCTATAGTCTAGTCTATAGTCTAGTCTATAGTCTAGTCTATAGTCTAGTCTATAGTCTAGTCTATAGTCTAGTCTATAGTCTAGTCTATAGTCTAGTCTATAGTCTAGTCTATAGTCTAGTCTATAGTCTAGTCTATAGTCTGGTCTAGTCATAGTCTATGCTTATAGTCTAGTCTATAGTCTAGTCTATAGTCTAGTCTAGAGTCTAGTCCTATAGTCTAGTCTATAGTCTAGTCTATAGTCTAGTCTATAGTCTAGTCTAAGTCTGGTCTATAGTCTAGTCTATAGTCTAGTCTATAGTCTTAGTCTATAGTCTAGTCTATAGTCTAGTCTATAGTCTAGTCTTAGTCTATAGTCTATAGTCTAGTCTATAGTCTAGTCTATAGTCTAGTCTATAGTCTAGTCTATAGTCTAGTCCTATAGTCTAGTCTATAGTCTAGTCTATAGTCTAGTCTATAGTCTAGTAGCTATAGTCCTAGTCTATAGTCTAGTCTATAGTCTAGTCTATAGTCTCGTCTATAGTCTAGTCTATAGTCTAGTCATAGTCCTAGTCTATAGTCTATAGTCTAGTCTAGTCTAGTCTATAGTCTAGTCTATAGTCTAGTCTATAGTCTAGTCTATAGTCTAGTCTATAGTCTAGTCTATAGTCTAGTCTATAGTCTAGTCTATAGTCTAGTCTATAGTCTAGTCTATAGTCTAGTCTATAGTCTAGTCTATAGTCTAGTCTATAGTCTAGTCTATAGTCTAGTCTATAGTCTAGTCTATAGTCTAGTCTATAGTCTAGTCTATAGTCTAGTCTAGTCTATAGTCTAGTCTAGTCTATAGTCTAGTCTATAGTCTAGTCTATAGTCTAGTCTATAGTCTAGTCTATAGTCTAGTCTATAGTCTAGTCTATAGTCTAGTCTATAGTCTAGTCTAGTCTAGTCTATAGTCTAGTCTATAGTCTAGTCTAGTCTAGTCTATAGTCTAGTCTATAGTCTAGTCTATAGTCTAGTCTAGTCTATAGTCTAGTCTAGTCTGTAGTCTAGTCTATAGTCTAGTCTATAGTCTAGTCTATAGTCTAGTCTATAGTCTAGTCTATAGTCTAGTCTATAGTCTAGTCTATAGTCTAGTATAGTCTAGTCTATAGTCTAGTCTATAGTCTAGTCTATAGTCTAGTCTATAGTCTAGTCTATAGTCTAGTCTATAGTCTAGTCTATAGTCTAGTCTATAGTCTAGTCTATAGTCTAGTCTATAGTCTAGTCTAGTCTATAGTCTAGTCTATAGTCTAGTCTATAGTCTAGTCTATAGTCTAGTCTATAGTCTAGTCTATAATCTAGTCTATAGTCTAGTCTATAGTCTAGTCTATAGTCTAGTCTATAGTCTAGTCTATAGTCTAGTCTATAGTCTAGTCTATAGTCTAGTCTATAGTCTAGTCTATAGTCTAGTCTATAGTCTAGTCTATAGTCTAGTCTATAGTCTAGTCTATAGTCTAGTCTATAGTCTAGTCTATAGTCTAGTCTATAGTCTAGTCTATAGTCTAGTCTATAGTCTAGTCTATAGTCTAGTCTATAGTCTAGTCTATAGTCTAGTCTATAGTCTAGTCTATAGTCTAGTCTATAGTCTAGTCTATAGTCTAGTCTATAGTCTAGTCTATAGTCTAGTCTATAGTCTAGTCTATAGTCTAGTCTATAGTCTAGTCTATAGTCTAGTCTATAGTCTAGTCTATAGTCTAGTCTATAGTCTAGTCTAGTCTATAGTCTAGTCTATAGTCAAGTCTATAGTCAAGTCTATATAGTAGGCTACAGTCTAATCTATAGTCTAGTTTATAGTCGAGTTTATAATATAGTCTATAGTCTAGTCTGTAATGTAGTCTCTAAACTATTTGGTAAACTTCTTAATATATAGATGATAACGAATTGCCTTAAACACTTAACCAATATTAAGACTACTTAACAAACCGCATTAAAATGTACGTATGTATGTACGGAGCAACATACATATATTTGAAGGTTTATTTAAACATGTCGGGCCAATTAATATATAACAAAAGTGGAAGTAGTTAAGTAATGTTATTTGTATTACAGTACATTTCCTTTCACTTACTGTTATTGTATACATACATATATATGTATGAATGTATATGTACTTACCATTAGAGCAACATAACCATGAATACCATTATAAGCCCTTAGCATTTGATAAAATTCTCCTTTACAGTAATCCGCACACTCGTGGGTTGTCTTATAGATTTGCATGTATTCAACGAACAGACGGAAATCATTTTCCGTAATGCCTAAACTTGAGTTCTTATCTAACAGATGGAGACTTTTATTTGTTTCCATTGCGATTGTTGTTGGTATCAATGTGTCGTCGGTTGGTAGTGGTGTTGTGGTGAAGCTTAACGTTGTTGTTAATGTATCCATAATTGTATGTGTAGGTTTTTCTTCCATTTGCGGGAAAATCAAAGGTTCGTATGTCATGACTTTTGTGTTTTTTGGTTTTCTCTTAACTTCAGATTTCTTTGTTATTGCAGATGTTATTTTTTTTATTGTTGTTTGGGTTTTGGCGTATTCTTTATAAATTGTTTATTGATTTTATTGGTTTTTGTTTTTGGGGTTTTTCTTAGTATTTAAGATGTGGTTTACTGTTCATTATATTCATGTTTGATGTTATCGTGTTATCTGAAAATAGAATGACAATAAATCAAAACAAGTTAGAGCGTTTAATTTATTTGGATTTTATTTCAATTGAAAAAATTTCCAAAAAAAAGTTTTCGAAATTTAATTACTTAATTTTATAGATAACGCCTTTAAATAAGTGTTTTAATAATATAAATTAATGTTTAAATGCATATGTATGTGTGGATGTATGTTTCATATTATTGTGAATTGGTTTTTCACTTTGGTTTTTTGTTCACCTTTCTTTTGACAGATGTTATCATTAAAACAAGGTCATTTTTTATTTGCGAGACATGAAACTGTGTTAAAGAAATATTTATATTTAAACATATACATATGTAAATATTTATTTACACATATATTTATATGTATAAATAACTTGTTTATTTGATCTAGTTTAAATAAATGTCAATAAATATTTATTTATTTGTTTATTTTAAAATATGTATATTTATATTTATTTGTATGTGTGTATCAAAAGTAAACAAATTGTATAATATAATGTCATATAATTTATATGTACATATGTAAGTCACATGACAGAATTTAATCAAATGTTTATATATTAAAAGAAAACTTAATAAAAAGTTAATTAGAATATTACCATAATAAATTAATGAAAATTAAAAACAAATATTCTAAAGACATAATATGGCCGCAACACATGTTAATGCTTTAATTAATTGTGGAAAAAATACAAATAATATTTAACTGCCGTCCATCAGTTAACACAGAATTCACGTTTTAATTAGTGGCAAAATTTTATGTTATTATACCCTCCATCCAAGCAAAAACATGGTTATGACTTGTACTTACCCTATAACACACTTTTCAAACTACTTATTTAACCTCTTACAGCAGTAAGTTGTTATTTTACTCCCTATTTGTAGGCGTAAGTGGTTAGTACTTGCCTGTAAGGTCATTTAAAATAATAACTTAAATGTTATTGTGTAAGTAAATTTAAGCCTTTCAATGTATGTTTTTGCTGGGTTCATTAGAGTGCTTGATGTTGTTAATGTACAGAATTAAAACTTTAAATTAGGGTTCTATAGTTGAAAGAAAATATCAAACTTTCGAATCTTTGATTTGTCCAATTTTTATATATAAATTTTTTCGAAATTTCGTTCTCTTTTTTTCGACTTTTTCGGACATCTTATTCGATTCTCTTCGACTTATTTTCAACTTGACTTACTTTATTCTTAAAAGAAATCGAAGATTTTTCGAATTCATTTAGACAAAACAGTAGACTTTGACTTTTTGCAATTCCAACTAATAATTGAGCTATTCAAACTTTTCAATATCGACTTTTAGTCTTTTCGTTCTATTTTCCATTTTTTTCGGACTTTTTACAGTCGACTTCGACTTTTTGCAGTTCATGAACAGCCAACATATCTTCTTTTTAGTGAATTTTTCGAACCTTCATGCGTCCTTTATGGATCGAAACTAGACAAGATGTGGACAAAAGGGTGGATGAGTCCAAACTTCCCAAATACTTCATTCTAAATTGTTGCAATAATTGATATTGCAACATAGATAGATAGATAGATAGATAGATAGATAGATAGATAGATAGATAGATAGATAGATAGATAGATAGATAGATAGATAGATAGATAGATAGATAGAAAGATAGATAGATAGATAGATAGATAGATAGATAGATAGATAGATAGATAGATAGATAGATAGATAGATAGATAGATAGATAGATAGATAGATAGATAGATAGATAGATAGATAGATAGATAGATAGATAGATAGATAGATAGATAGATAGATAGATAGATAGATAGATAGATAGATAGATAGATAGATAGATAGATAGATAGATAGATAGATAGATAGATAGATAGATAGATAGATAGATAGATAGATAGATAGATAGATAGATAGATAGATAGATAGATAGATAGATAGATAGATAGATAGATAGATAGATAGATAGATAGATAGATAGATAGATAGATAGATAGATAGTATATAGTACAAGGCTTCAATACTTGGTATTTCAAGGATTTGGGCAGACCCAGCAGCGGTTGTAAAATTCGATATTTTTCTTACAAGATAGTCGACTTTGCCTTTTTTCTACAAAATGTCGATTACTTTAAAGTTGATTTCTAGAACCCTAATGTTGTTATTGAAACTATATAAACTCGAACTATTATCAGAACTAATTTATGAGAAAAAATAAACAAAATTGCCCTTGGAACTAAAGGTTAAACAAGTTTGCAACAACCTACATACATATGTACATACATCCATACGTACATACATATCACTCAAACATGTTTCATTTTTCACTGTTTACTCCCCAGCAGTCCAATTCTTGTTTAAATTACCGATATGATTTGCAACTGTCAAATGCATATAATATATTTGCCATTTAAATTTCACACAAATCAACTACAGAAACCGTGCCACCGATATTTATTAACATTCATTATTATTGGCCTTAAACTAACTCGTAAGGTAAAAGGCAGATAGACAGACACCACCTGTCTGCCTTTTAGCAGCAGTGATGGAAATTTAAAAATAAATTTTTATTAAGTATCAAAATATTCATGTCAAAAATGTATTGATCAAATTTTATTTTATACTAAATATTCATACTCTTGAGTACATTAAAGAGTGTCAAAATATATAATTTCAATACAATTGTTCTACAAATTTAAACTCACTTTATTATTTGTATAAAATGCTAAAGTAAATCAAATTTATTATTTTATAGAATATATACAATAAGAATGGTCATTTATTGGAATTAAGAAGTGACAAAAAATATATAGCTGACAATATGTCATTGTTAGTTATGAAATAGAATTCAAAAAATATATATAGTACTATTGTACTATATATTTCCAACTGTTGTAAACTTGAAAAGAAAAAAAAAAAAAAAACAACAAATCACGTAAGTGCATTATATACGACTATGCAGAACCTTATAATGCCCCATATCAATACATGTAATGCCTTAATCCTAATGGTGTTTATAACCAATCAATTTAACCCTTTCACTACAAGTTCTAAGAGTACAAATTTCGAATGAGAATTTTTGTTGTTGCTTGAGTCAAATATGGACCGAACTCTATACAATTCAATATAATAGTGAATCATTTCTTAGAATTATTAATAATTTATTTTTTGTAAATATGTTTGTAGGGTTTCTAAAAGTTCGTCTGGATTGACTTATTTGTTTCAGTTCTTTTTTGCTAGACATCCTCTGTGATTTACAAAACATTTTATTTATTATTTTACTGTCTGAATATGTCCAATTAATCATTGTTTATTTTATATTATTTATATAGATTGTTGTCAGAAATATTGTGTTCAAATATTAAAAATATTGCTGTCTATTATTCATGTAAATGTAATTTACAAAATTTACATTTACGGTTCTATGTAGAATTCATGTGAAACCTTTCCACCAAAATGTTGAAAAAAAAAGAAGAATATGGATAATTTCCTCCCCTAATAAAAATTTATTTAAAAACTCAACCATTTTTACTTTTACCACTTATGTAATTTAATAAACATACATTTGTGTACAAAATGGTTACTAGAGTGGTCCAAGGTTGTGCGGATGAAAAGAAACAAACAAAAAAACTAACTAAGTAGTCTATCTATCTATCTATCTATCTATCTATCTATCTATCTATCTATCTATCTATCTATCTATCTATCTATCTATCTATCTATCTATCTATCTATCTATCTATCTATCTATCTATCTATCTATCTATCTATCTATCTATCTATCTATCTATCTATCTATCTATCTATCTATCTATCTATCTATCTATCTATCTATCTATCTATCTATCTATCTATCTATCTATCTATCTATCTATCTATCTATCTATCTATCTATCTATCTATCTATCTATCTATCTATTATCTATCTATCTATCTATCTATCTTATCTATCTATCTATCTATCTATCTATCTATCTATCTATCTATCTATCTATCTATCTATCTATCTATCTATCTATCTATCTATCTATCTATCTATCTATCTATCTATCTATCTATCTATCTATCTATCTATCTATCTATCTATCTATCTATCTATCTATCTATCTATCTATCTATCTATCTATCTATCTATCTATCTATCTATCTATCTATCTATCTATCTATCTATCTATCTATCGCTCACCTCGTGTTGAACCTTTCGCATACAGGGAAAGACAACGAGAGATTCAATATCGGCTCTGGAATACTATGAAGTAATTTTGCAAGTAACGTTTTTGCCAAGCAATCCAATGTTTACACTTAAACATCAAACTATTGTAATTAGAAATAAAATTTAAATATGTATAAAATTGTAATTAATTAATAAATAGTTTATTTTTTTGCCTCCCAAATATTTCAATAACTTATACAAATGTATTGAAAATTATTGCATTATTAATTTTCAATTGTTATTATTAAATCATAATAAAGCGAATAATTATAATAATATTGTTATTATTGTTATAAATCTCTTAAATAACTTAATCTGCTTTTCTTTTAAATAAAATATATTTCAAATAAATAAAGGCTTAAAATAATATTGATTTTACTTAAAATTGATGCTAATTGTTGTTTAATACCAAATAATACTAAAAGTCATATTTCCATTTAATGCATAATTTATGCCATATATTATTTCATTTTATTTTATTGGCAAATGTGCAATAACAATTCTTGTTGGCAAATTGTACGAACCAGTTACACTTTTTTTTTTTTTTTTGGAAAAATCAAATTCAATTGCTCGCTACAAATCATTCATTCCATCATATCATTTTATTGGTTAGGGTGGTCTTTTTAACATTACATTTGAGGGCTTACATTTTCCACAACACTCATTTTCATTGTTTGTAATAGATGAGACTATAGACAAGACTATAGACTATAGACTAGACTATAGACTAGACTATAGACTAGACTATAGACTAGACTATAGACTAGACTATAGACTAGACTATAGACTAGACTATAGACTAGACTATAGACTAGACTATAGACTAGACTATAGACTAGACTATAGACTAGACTATAGACTAGACTATAGACTAGACTATAGACTAGACTATAGACTAGACTTTACACTAGACTATAGACTAGACTATACACTAGACTATAGACTAGACTATACACTAGACTATAGACTAGACTATAGACTAGACTATAGACTAGACTATAGACTAGACTATAGACTAGACTATAGACTAGACTATAGACTGACTATAGACTAGACTATAGACTATAGACTAGACTATAGACTAGACTATAGACTAGACTATAGATTAGACTATAGACTAGACTATAGACTAGACTATAGACTAGACTAGACTAGACTATAGACTAGACTATAGACTAGACTATAGCTATAGATAGACTATAGACTAGATATAGACTAGACTAGACTAGACTAGACTAGACTATAGACTAGACTATAGACTAGACTATAGACTAGACTATAGACTATAGACTATAGACTAGACTATAGACTAGACTATAGACTAGACTATAGACTAGACTATAGACTAGACTATAGACTAGACTATAGACTAGACTATAGACTAGACTATAGACTAGACTATAGACTAGACTATAGACTAGACTATAGACTAGACGATAGACTAGACTATAGACTAGACTATAGACTAGACTAGACTAGACTAGACAAGACTAGACTAGACTAGACTAGACTAGACTAGACTAGACTAGACTAGACTAGACTAGACTAGACTAGACTATAGACTATAGACTATAGACTATAGACTATAGACTATAGACTAGACTATACTATAGACTAGGCTAGACTATAGACTAGACTATAGACTAGACTATAGACTAGACTATAGACTAGACTATACTATAGACTAGGCTAGACTATAGACTAGACTATACTAGACTAGACTATAGACTAGACTATACTATACTAGACTATATACTATAGACTAGACTATAGACTAGACTAGACTAGACTATAGACTAGACTATAGACTAGACTAGACTATAGACTAGACTATAGACTAGACTAGACTATAGACTAGACTATAGACTAGACTAGACTACCTAGACGAACCTTTCTCTGTCCGACTGTCTGCAGAACAGGATATCCGAAATTACTTATTAGTTGAGTGAACACCCTAATAAATCACCTTTATTTAGTTGTTTATCCAAATAATTTTATTACTTCTAATTGAATTTTCTTAATTTGAAGTTTTTTTTTGACATAAAGTATAAATAAAGTTGCGTATAGATAAACTTGTTGTAGTTTCTAATACGCGTTTAATCTACGTGTGTGCTGTACTGCTATAAATCCCTTTTAATATTCGAAAATTGATTTAAAAACAATTCACATCGAAATGAAATACATTGTAAGTGTGTGGCGAAAAAAAAATTATAGTTAAAAAAAATCCTTTTAAACTTGTTAAATATGTTTTATATAACGTTCTGTGCATAATAAAGTTAATTAAAAAATATTTTTGTTTGTATTCAGTATGAGGAATGCCAACAAAAACAATAAACAAGTAAATGAAAAATTAAATTTTGTTTGTGATGAAAAAAAAAAAAAAAATCAGATAACAATACACTTGTCATCTACATATGTATGTATGTGGTTATATTACATTGCAACTTTCTATTTTTGTTGCAGCCAAAAATATGTTTAAGTCATGGGATATTTTAATCGTATTACTGCCATCTATACAACGTTCTGACCGATTTTTAATAACAAAGTATTTATATAAACTGAAATTAAATGACACAAAAGTGCAGTTAAAGTTTATTCTGTCTGTCCGTCGGTGGAAAGCATGATAGGGCCTGAACGGGTACATCTAAACGGCTGAAGGTTTTCACAAACATTTTACCCATATGAATCCGATCGATTCATAATTTCTCTTAAGAGTTGGATCTTATAAGTATCGTGTTATGATAATAGCACAAATCAAATAAATATATTAGTAAATCGTGGTAACAATTCCCAAATCCTAATGTAAGGTCATCTTTTGAAATTCATTTTAAATCTGCAAAACATGCTTCGATGGTGGGTTTAGTAGGTTGCTTTTAGTTGTAAACGTACATATTAAAGTTTTAGTTGTTTTACATCATGACTGACCATGTGTAGGTTTATTGTTGAGTGGGTGCTTTACAAAAAAAAAAAAAAAAGTTTTTATCAAAAACTTTTATTATTTTGCTGGTTTTTGGTTTAAAAAAACGAGCATGCTTATAGTTTTATTATTTATTTTTTCTGACATCAGTTAATTTTAAGTTATTTTGCATGAATTCAAAAGGACGACTATTAGTATTATTTTTATTCAACTAATGGAAAAAAATAACTGCAGTAATATTAGTTTGAAGTGTCTTTAAAACTAAAAATATAGATAGATAGATAGATAGATAGATAGATAGATAGATAGATAGAGATAGATAGATAGATAGATAGATAGATAGATAGATAGATAGATAGATAGATAGATAGATAGATAGATAGATAGATAGAGTAGATAGATAGATAGATAGATAGATAGATAGATAGATAGATAGATAGATAGATAGATAGATAGATAGAAGATAGATAGAAGACAGATAGACAGATAGACAGATAGACAGATAGACAGATAGATAGATAGATAGACAGATATAGATAGATAGATAGATAGATAGATAGATAGATAGATAGATAGATAGATAGATAGATAGATAGATAGATAGATAGATAGATAGATAGATAGATAGATAGATAGATAGTAGATAGATAGATAGATAGATAGATAGATAGATCGATAGATCGATAGATAGATAGATAGATAGATAGATAGATAGATAGATAGATAGATAGATAGATAGATAGATAGATAGATAGATAGATAGATAGATAGATAGATAGATAGATAGATAGATAGATAGATAGATAGATAGATAGATAGATAGATAGATAGATAGATAGATAGATAGATAGATAGATAGATAGATAGATAGATAGATAGATAGATAGATAGATAGATAGATAGATAGATAGATAGATAGATAGATAGATAGATAAGATAGATAGATAGATAGATAGATAGATAGATAGATAGATAGATAGATAGATAGATAGATAGATAGATAGATAGATAGATAGATAGATAGATAGATAGATAGATAGATAGATAGATAGATAGATAGATAGATAGATAGATAGATAGATAGATAGATAGATAGATAGATAGATAGATAGATAGATAGATAGATAGATAGATAGATAGATAGATAGATAGATAGATAGATAGATAGATAGATAGATAGATAGATATAGATAGATAGATAGATAGATAGATAGATAGATAGATAGATAGATAGATAGATAGATAGATAGATAGATAGATAGATAGATAGATAGATAGATAGATAGATAGATAGATAGATAGATAGATAGATAGATAGATAGATAGATAGATAGATAGATAGATAGATAGATAGATAGATAGATAGATAGATAGATAGATAGATAGATAGATAGATAGATAGATAGATAGATAGATAGATAGATAGATAGATAGATAGATAGATAGATAGATAGATAGATAGATAGATAGATAGATAGATAGATAGATAGATAGATAGATAGATAGATAGATAGATAGATAGATAGATAGATAGATAGATAGATAGATAGATAGATAGATAGATAGATAGATAGATAGATAGATAGATAGATAGATAGATAGATAGATAGATAGATAGATAGATAGATAGATAGATAGATAGATAGATAGATAGATAGATAGATAGATAGATAGATAGATAGATAGATAGATAGATAGATAGATAGATAGATAGATAGATAGATAGATAGATAGATAGATAGATAGATAGATAGATAGATAGATAGATAGATAGATAGATAGATAGTAGTTAGTAGTTAGTTAGTTAGTTAGTTAGTTAGTTAGTTAGTTAGTTAGTTAGTTAGTTAGTTAGTTAGTTAGTTAGTTAGTTAGTTAGTTAGTTAGTTAGTTAGTTAGTTAGTTAGTAGTTAGTTAGTTAGTTAGTTAGTTAGTTAGTTAGTTAGTTAGTTAGTTAGTTAGTTAGTTAGTTAGTTAGTTAGTTAGTTAGTTAGTTAGTTAGTTAGTTAGTTAGTTAGTTAGTTAGTTAGTTAGTTAGTTAGTTAGTTAGTTAGTTAGTTAGTTAGTTAGTTAGTTAGTTAGTTAGTTAGTTAGTTAGTTGGCTAGTTAAAAGGATGATGCATATATGTACATACATACATATGTACCAAGTGTTAAGAACTAAGTTTTTCATTAGAAACTACTTACACTTTTTGTCAGTCTAAGCAACATCCTTTCATTCAATTTAATTCAGACAATTTAAGACAATTCCCATAATTGCATAATCTCTTCTTAACTAAATAAATAGTTGTACCTTAACCCTAAGTAAATTACTTAAATGTATTTAAACCTTAACATCAACTAAAATTGTCCACCAAAGAGTTTCGGTTTCTTCTACAATCCACCTTGATAATTAAATTGTAATTAAATACATACTAAAATGTTTTTCTGTGAAACGTTATAAATGACAACTTTGTATTTGAATTCATTATTTAAATACTTGAGTTACGACAACAAGAATCATTTATTTATTTACATATACAATAGGGTGGATTTCGTTTCTATAATAATTTTATTGCAAACTTTTGGTTCATTTAAATATTTGAAATTCATTTTACACATATACTAATGAAATTCTTCTAAAACGTATATACATATTTGCGAAATGTAATTTCATGTGAAAACTTTTCCCCTGTTGTGAAATAGTTTTTTTTATCAGAATTTTTGGTGACCATAAACAGCTGTTATAAACGGTTTCTATGAATAATAGCAATTTCTCCTACGATGGATTGTATGTCAATTTCAGGTGAACACAAATTTTAGGTTTTATTGCCGTTAGGGGCAATTAAATTAAGCGATATTTAACATTTACAGTCAATTTGTTGCAAAAAAATTCTTTTGTTTGTTTTTTATATTGAACTTTAATATTTTAATGTTAAAATACAAATGGGACACATTTAATCGGCTTAAATATTGTTTCGAAAAAACGATTTTGGTTTTGTTTCTATTTACAATTACATTTGTTGCATATTGCGACAGATTTACCAAGTTAATACTGTTCATGGGATCTTTAACACTGGAGTTAATAAAAAGAAACAACAACTTTTTCAGAATCGCCCTAATGTATACAACCTCATGTTGTATATATTTATTAAATGCTTGATGTCTTTTTAATTAACTTGAATATCCATAGATAAAAGCTGCTAGAGACAGTAGTGAACAATGTAAAGACAACCAGAAAATGGGATGTATTTACTATATAAAAAAAAATAACTGGAAAGAATACAACATGTAGTAAAAAAGAAGAACAAATAATAAATAAGTATAAAAAAATATAGAAATGAAATCAACTCTTAATTTGATTTATGAGTTTAAAATACAAAATGTCAAATGTCATTAAGTTAAAAACAAAAAAAAAAAACAAAAAGGCCATACAAAAGCTGACACCAACAGATTTAATAAATTTATAAATACATTTGATTATTGGTATAATATCCTTTGTACCGCTTTCACAGAGTGATAATATAATATGACACAGGCCAACAATTTTTTTTACTAAGAAAAGTATAATACTTTCTACGGCCTTAAGCAGTGTTAAATCTGAATCTGCGTCCTTAAAATTACAAAAAAAGAACTTAGTTTTTGGTAATATTTGACCTTTTAACAATAGTTAGTTAGTTAGTGAGTAAGTGAGTAAGTTAGTTAGTTAGTTAGTTAGTTAGTTAGTTAGTTAGTTAGTTAGTTAGGTAGGTAGGTAGTAGTTAGTTAGTTAGTTAGTTAGTTAGTTAGTTAGTTAGTTAGTTAGTTAGTTAGTTAGTTAGTTAGTTAGTTAGTTAGTTAGTAGTTAGTTAGTTAGTTAGTTAGTTAGTTAGTTAGTTAGTTAGTTAGTTAGTTAGTTAGTTAGTTAGTTAGTTAGTTAGTAGTTAGTTAGTTAGTTAGTTAGTTAGTTAGTTAGTTAGTAGTTAGTTAGTTAGTAGTTAGTTAGTTAGTTAGTTAGTTAGTTAGTTAGTTTAGTAGTTAGTTAGTTAGTTAGTTAGTTAGTTAGTTAGTTAGTAGTAGTTAGTTAGTTAGTTAGTTAGTTAGTTAGTTAGTTAGTAGTTAGTTAGTTAGTTAGTTAGTTAGTTAGTTAGTTAGTTAGTTAGTTAGTTAGTTAGTTAGTTAGTTAGTTAGTTAGTTAGTTGTTAGTTAGTTAGTTAGTTAGTTAGTTAGTTAGTTAGTAAGTGAGTTAGTTAGTTAGTTAGTTAGTTAGTTAGTAGTTAGTTAGTTAGTTAGTTAGTTAGTTAGTTAGTTAGTTAGTTAGTTAGTTAGTTAGGTAGTTAGGTAGTTAGGTAGTTAGGTTAGTTAGTTAGTTAGTTAGTTAGTAGTTAGTTAGTAGTTAGTTAGTTAGTAGTAGTTAGTTAGTTAGTTAGTTAGTTAGTTAGTTAGTTAGTAGTTAGTTAGTTAGTTAGTTAGTTAGTTAGTTAGTTAGTTAGTTAGTTAGTTAGTTAGTTAGTTAGTTAGTTAGTTAGTTAGTTAGTTAGTTAGTTAGTTAGTTAGTTAGTTAGTTAGTTAGTTAGTTAGTTAGTTAGTAGTAGTTAGTTAGTTAGTAGTAGTTAGTTAGTTAGTTAGTTAGTTAGTTAGTTAGTTAGTTAGTTAGTTAGTTAGTTAGTTAGTTAGTTAGTTAGTTAGTTAGTTAGTAGTTAGTTAGTTAGTTAGTTAGTAGTTAGTTAGTTAGTTAGTTAGTTAGTTAGTTAGTTAGTTAGTTAGTTAGTAGTTAGTTAGTTAGTAGTAGTTAGTGAGTTAGTTAGTTAGTTAGTTAGTTAGTTAGTTAGTTAGTTAGTTAGTTAGTTAGTTAGTTAGTTAGTTAGTTAGTAGTTAGTTAGTTAGTTAGTTAGTTAGTTAGTTAGTTAGTTAGTTAGTTAGTTAGTTAGTTAGTTAGTTAGTTAGTTAGTAGTTAGTTAGTTAGTTAGTTAGTTAGTTAGTTAGTTAGTTAGTTAGTTAGTTAGTTAGTTAGTTAGTTAGTTAGTTAGTTAGTAGTTAGTTAGTTAGTTAGTTAGTTAGTTAGTTAGTTAGTTAGTTAGTTAGTTAGTTAGTTAGTTAGTTAGTTAGTTAGTAGTTAGTTAGTTAGTTAGTTAGTTAGTTAGTTAGTTAGTTAGTTAGTTAGTTAGTTAGTTAGTTAGTTAGTTAGTTAGTTAGTTAGTTAGTTAGTTAGTTAGTTAGTAGTTAGTTAGTAGTTAGTTAGTAGTTAGTTAGTTAGTTAGTTAGTAGTTAGTTAGTTAGTTAGTTAGTTAGTAGTAGTTAGTTAGTTAGTTAGTTAGTAGTTAGTTAGTTAGTTAGTTAGTTAGTTAGTAGTTAGTTAGTTAGTTAGTTAGTTAGTTAGTTAGTTAGTTAGTTAGTTAGTTAGTAGTTAGTTAGTTAGTTAGTTAGTTAGTTAGTTAGTTAGTTAGTTAGTTAGTTAGTTAGTTAGTTAGTTAGTTAGTTAGTTAGTTAGTTAGTTAGTTAGTTAGTTAGTAGTTAGTTAGTTAGTTAGTTAGTTAGTTAGTTAGTTAGTTAGTTAGTTAGTTAGTTAGTTAGTTAGTTAGTTAGTTAGTTAGTTAGTTAGTTAGTTAGTTAGTTAGTTAGTTAGTTAGTTAGTTAGTTAGTTAGTTAGTTAGTTAGTTAGTTAGTTAGTTAGTTAGTTAGTTAGTTAGTTAGTTAGTTTGTTAGTTAGTTAGTTAGTTAGTTAGTTAGTTAGTTAGTTAGTTAGTTAGTTAGTAGTTAGTTAGTTAGTTAGTTAGTTAGTTAGTTAGTAGTTAGTTAGTTAGTTAGTTAGTTAGTTAGTTAGTTAGTTAGTTAGTTAGTTAGTTAGTTAGTTAGTTAGTTAGTTAGTTAGTTAGTTAGTTAGTTAGTTAGTTAGTTAGTTAGTTAGTACTTAGTTAGTTAGTTAGTTAGTTTGTTAGTTAGTTAGGCATACATTCGAATCGTTTCCATTTAACATATATTATATTTTCTTCCATTTCAGCTCTTGTTGCTGCTGGCCATCGCTCTCTGTCATGCCGCCCCAGTTGAGGATAAATCCTCCACTTCCTCTTCGGCTAAACCGAAACGTGGTTTACACTTGAGTCTCGGCTATCATGCACCCCTGGTTGCCTCCTCCTATGTAGCCGCCGAACCAACCGCTATTTATCATGCTGCTCCCGTTCTTACACACGAACCTATCCTATCACATGCCCCACTCATTTCCCATCATGCGCCCGTCTATTCACATGCCTCCCTCATTCAACATGCTCCCCTGCTATCGCATACACCCCTAATTTCACATGCTCCACTTATTGCTCATGCACCCGTCTATTCATCGTCTCATATTTTGCCCTCAATCCATTCAATTCATCACTATTAAGAAGAAGGGGCTTTGTGTAGAAGATTTATTATTTAAATGGAAGCATTAATAAGTGACAAGTTAAACGATTTATTTTAATATAGTGTTTGTTGTTGTAAATAAAATGTAACATAATTGTTAAATTAACTATTAAGAAAATTTTCAAATAAATTAACAAGGCCATAATTGAAAAGGAAATTGATTTGCATATTTTTGTTTCACATACAGTAGACTTGAGGTAGGAAAAAGGTGCAGAAAGTAGTTACTACCTCAAATAGTAAAAAAAACTAATACTTAATGGACCGATCCAGAAAACGCGTTGCAGAATTATTTGCATCTATACAAAATGTATTCGTGTAGTATTGTCTCCCGATATCATTATTTATTCATAAGTAATTTAGGATTAAGTAATTTTCAGAAATGGACTTTATACTAGAGCTGCGAGTCAATTATGGACCGATCCGAAAAATATTTCATAGAATGAATATTCAAATACTAATCAGTAGTAGTCAATAGCCTTGTAAATAGACAAGATCATAAACTAGTCCATAGATGGATTAGTTCATAGATTATTGAAAAGAATTAGTTTGCAGAATAGTCCATATCAATTGGCTAGTCCATAGACTAACCTATTAGCTAAACATTATTAGACTAGGCAAAACATAGAAAAGAAGACAATTAAATGTAGTACTTTTTAATGCAAAAAAGTACTTTTAGATTCTAATTCATCTAATATTCTGAGCCAAATATCAACATACCTCTATATTGTCGTAGGATAAACATAAGTATAATAGAATTTTTAACGTTTTTTCAAATAGCCATACTTTAGTTTATAATATTCCTTTGTAACTTGAAACTTTTGCGATAGCTGCCATTATGTGATTTAACTATTTTGTATAAATAGATATTTCTGTCCTTAAGAGGGGGCTTCAATTTAGTTTGACTTAACTATCAATTTACAATAAAAAATAACATCAACAGTTAATAGATAGACAACACACAAAGTAAATATTTAAAATGTAAAAACATTAGGACGCCCACGTTTTTTAAGAAAAAGTTCCATTTTATAATTTTGACTCCAATGAATCCTATTCTAAATATATTCGGAAATAGTATTTCTATGTAAATTATTAAATTAAGATTTACATTCCCCTTAAGACTAAAGTTTTCAGTTTTGTGGCCAACTTAATAACCACATGTCATTTGTTAGTTGTGTAAAGTATTTACTTGTTTGGGCATCCACATGTGCGTAAATATTTGTTTAATGTGACAAGAAACTGGTGACGACAATTGTCCTTAAGTGTCATCATTTTAATGGTTGTGATTAAGTGCTCACTCAGCTGTATAATTTAGTTTTTTTCTTTTTTTGAGTTCAACTAATATAATTTTATTTAATAGACCATAAACGAACGAAATGTTCTATAGGAAAGAAATCTATATAAATATGTATGTATGTGTGTATATTGTAATAACTCTGTAAGGAAGTAAGTAAATAATTTAATAATATGTTTGTATAAACAACAATATGTGTGTTAAAAGTTTGCTTTAATTATCTAAAACATATTGTGTTGAAATGATTATGATTAAAAAAAAATATTAAAGTGATAAGTTAAATTGTTATAAATTGTTCTTGTTTAAATGGAAAATTAATATTTCATATAATTATTATTAGAAATTATTAAATATATATGGGTGTACACTAAGAGATGTACAAAAATGGCGTAGATTTTATAATTTGATTCGAAAATATGACCCAGCGGAGCAGATGACGAACGAACGAACGAAAACGAACGAACGAAAAAGAACGAACGAACGAAAGAACTAACGAACGAACGAAACGAACGAACTAACGAACGAACGAACGAACGAACGAACGAACAACGAAACGAACGAACGAACAACGAACGAAACGAACGAACGAACGAACGAACACGAAACGAACGAACGACCAAACGAACAAACGAACTAACGAACGAACGAACTAACGAAAACGAACGAACGAAAACGAAAAACGAACGAACTAACTAACTAACGAACAAACTAACTAACTAACTAACTAACTAACTAACTAACTAACTAACTAACTAACTAACTAACTAACTAACTAAGTAACTAACTAACTAACAACTCACTAATAGATAGATAGATAGATAGATAGATAGATAGATAGATAGATAGATAGATAGATAGATAGATAGATAGATAGATAGATAGATAGATAGATAGATAGATAGATAGATAGATAGATAGATAGATAGATAGATAGATAGATAGATAGATAGATAGATAGATAGATAGATAGATAGATAGATAGATAGATAGATAGATAGATAGATAGATAGATAGATAGATAGATAGATAGATAGATAGATAGATAGATAGATAGATAGATAGATAGATAGATAGATAGATAGATAGATAGATAGATAGATAGATAGATAGATAGATAGATAGATAGATAGATAGATAGATAGATAGATGATAGATAGATAGATAGATAGATAGATAGATAGATAGATAGATAGATAGATAGATAGATAGATAGATAGATAGATAGATAGATATAGATAATGCATAGGATTAGGGTCAATTGTTAAACGGTCCTCATGAAATTTGGTATGGGTATTATCGCTATACACGTATTTTAAAGCCATTCTAATTTAATTTACATTATAAGGAGTTTATCGTGTTGTGAGTTCTGAAACCATTAGAATTCAATGAGAACACAGAATGTGTCTCCGAAGCAATATTTCAATATATTACAAACAGATCAACTGTTTAGAAATTAACAATTTATTTATTTCTCTTTTTTTTCGAAATTCTCTCACTCTGCATCTTCTATTTTTGCTTAATTAAACTCAAGTGAGAAAATAAAGAACAACTTAAATCATTTAATTTTTTTTGTATTTATGAAAATAACCATTTTTGTGCATATTTTTTTAATGTCTACTTAATTTCCGGAAATTAGCGTTTAAACTAAATTAAATCCAATATAAACAGTGTAATTTAAAAGAAAAATAAACCAGAAGACATAATAAATAATGGCAACTGCCTTTGAAATCTCAATTTTCAATACAATAAGAAAGTATTTATTTATTTTAGAGGTGTGAATATCTATATCTATAGATATCATTTTGTATATTGAGGGTATAAAAGTTTTTTTTTTGCCATGGGTTAAAATTTATTGTCTCATTAAGAGATTCCTTTCAATCGCACCAATAGAATATTATCTTTAACGTGTCACAAGCTAAATTAAATTAAATGACAACAAAACTTGCACGTGAGTAGATGTTAGGAAAGGACTATATACAGAATATTAGGGTAATCCAGCTAGCAAGCAATAGCCGCTAAAAGAAATAGATTCTTTGGCAACTACATCCTGTTTAAATTTAGATTTCCCACTGCAGGATGGTTCTAGTATATCTACCGACTGTTGTGGTCCTGTAAAAACGGTGTCCCTTCGACTATACTTTACCGTTTGCACCAATCATGATAACCAACAATGATCATAATAGTATTGAATTTCTTGTAACAATAACATCACGATTACCGTAAGCCTGCTCCAAACCTATTTTTTTCTCTGGGATACACCTTCCTTAACATCTTCCACTATTATACCTCTACAATAGCAAATCAACATAAATAAAATCAATAAAAAATAGAATATCTTTTGAAAAGCCTAAGAATAAAAAGAACATTTGTCCCTGTGGCAAATGTACAAACTGTGCCGGTGACAGTCACAGTCACATTTACACACTTACTTACTTATGTACATATGTATGTATGTATGTAATTTCTACACCCACAATATTGTTTTTAATACATTTTGTAAAATTGTCAACAACGTAAGTACTTGCGAGTTACGTTTTGTAAGATAAGTGTTAGCGTTAGTCTTAGAACTTAAGAAGTTGAATGTCAAAAACAATTTTTCTTTATCATACACCACCGCCGTACGTCTTCTAAGTTCGTTTCCACATGACAGATATTTAAATTTACTCTAGCACCTGACTACCAAAGACCAAACGAACACGTAGTACGAAGCGGAAAAAAAGGGAAAAAATCTATAAAGTATAGTCATTAGAAAACTGCAACCATATTTTTTCGTTTTATCCTTCAAGACATGACAACCAACATTCATGGATACTTGCCTAACAGCAGCAGCAGCAGCCAGTATATTGTCGTTATTGTTTATGGCAAGTGGTAGGGAATAATGTCGTCAGCAATTGGGGGCAAATGAAAAACAAAACAAAACTGGTACTAGTGAAACATCAGCCTCAACAACTATATCAGCAACAACATCATTAAAATGAAGTAGGTGTCTTACGATGAGTGTAAGTACCCAATTAGCCAAAAAGTTATTGACAGACTAGACCATTGACTATATCTTTAACTAGACTTGACTATTGAACAGTCTTTAGATTAGACCATAGACTAGACTATAGACCAGACTATTGACTAGTCTATAGACCAGACTATAGACCAGACTAGACTATAAGCTTAGACTATGGACTGGACTACAGACTAGGTTATAGACTAGACTACAGATTAGACAAAAGAATATACCATAAACTAGGCTATCAACTAGATCATAGGCTATGCTATAGACTTGACTATAGACTAGTCTTAGGACTTGACTATAAACCAGACTAAGACTAGGCTATAGGCTAGCCTCTAGACTATACTATAGACTGGACTATAGACTGGACTACACTAGACTATACTGTAGACTATAATATGACCTAGACTATAGACTAGACTAAGACTATGAGAATAGACTAGACTATAACTAGACTATACTATGGCAACTAGACTAGACTATAGACTAGACCTATAGATAGACTAGACTAACTATAGAACTAGACTATAGACTAACTCATAGACCGAATATAGACTAGACTTAGACTAGCTATAGACTAGACTAGACTATAGACTAGACTATAGACTAGACTATAGACTAGACTATAGACTAACTATAGACTAGACTATAGACTATACTATAGACTAACTATAGACTAGACTATAGAACTAGACTATAGAACTAGACTATAGACTAGACTTAGACTAGACTATAGACAGAACTATACTATAGACTAGACTATAGACTAGACTATAGACTAGACTATAGACTAGACTATAGACTAGACTATAGACTAGACTATAGACTAGACTATAGACTAGACTATAGACTAGACTATAGACTAGACTATAGACTAGACTATAGACTAGACTATAGACTAGACTATAGACTAGACTATAGACTAGACTATAGACTAGACTATAGACTAGACTATCGACTAGACTATAGACTAGACTATAGACTAGACTATAGACTAGACTATAGACTAGGACTATAGACTAGACTATAGACTAGACTATAGACTAGACTATAGACTAGACTATAGACCTAGACTATAGACTAGACTATAGACTAGACTATAGACTAGACTATAGACTAGACTATAGACTAGACTATAGACTAGACTATAGACTAGACTATAGACTAGACTATAGACTAGACTATAGACTAGACTATAGACTAGACTATAGACTAGACTATAGACTAGACTATAGACTAGACTATAGACTAGACTATAGACTAGACTATAGACTAGACTATAGACTAGACTATAGACTAGACTATAGACTAGACTATAGACTCGACTATAGACTAGACTATAGACTAGACTATAGACTCGACTATAGACTAGACTATAGACTAGACTAAGACTCGACTATAGACTAGACTATAGACTAGACTATAGACTAGACTATAGACTAGACTATAGACTAGACTATATACTAGACTATAGACTAGACTATATACTAGACTATAGACTAGACTATAGACTAGACTATAGACTAACTATAGACTAGACTATAGACTAGACTATAGACTAGACTATAGACTAGACTATAGACTAGACTATAGACTAGACTATAGACTAGACTATAGACTAGACTATAGACTAGACTATAGACTAGACTATAGACTAGACTATAGACTAGACTATAGACTAGACTATATACTAGACTATAGACTAGACTATAGACTAGACTATAGACTAGACTATAGACTAGACTATAGACTAGACTATAGACTAGACTATAGACTAGACTATAGACTAGACTATAGACTAGACTATAGACTAGACTATAGACTAGACTATAGACTAGACTATAGACTAGACTATAGACTAGACTATAGACTAGACTATAGACTAGACTATAGACTAGACTATAGACTAGACTATAGACTAGACTATAGACTAGACTATAGACTAGACTATAGACTAGACTATATACTAGACTATAGACTAGACTATATACTAGACTATAGACTAGACTATAGACTAAACTATAGACTAGACTATAGACTAAACTATAGACTAGACTATAGACTAGAACTATAGACTAGACTATAGACTAGACTATAGACTAGACTATAGACTAGACTATAGACTAGACTATAGACTAGACTATAGACTAGACTATAGACTAGACTATAGACTAGACTATAGACTAGACTATACTAGACTATAGACTATAGACTAGACTATAGACTAGACTATAGACTAGACTATAGACTAGACTATAGACTAGACTATAGACTAGGCTATAGACTAGGCTATAGACTAGACTATAGACTAGACTATAGACTAGACTATAGACTAGGCTATAGACTAGACTATAGACTAGACTATAGACTAGACTATAGACTAGACTATAGACTAGACTATAGACTAGACTATAGACTAGACTAGACTATAGACTAGACTAGACTATAGACTAGACTATAGACTAGACTATAGACTATACTATAGACTAGACTATAGACTAGACTAGACTGTAGACTAGACTATAGACTAGACTGTAGACTAGACTATAGACTAGACTGTAGACCAGACTATAGCCCTGTCTATAGACAAGTCTATAGTCCAGACTATAGTCTATAGACTAGTCTATAGTCCAAACTATAATCTATAGACTAGTCTGTAGTCCAGACTATAGTCTATAGACTAGTCTATAGTCCAGACTATAGTCTATAGACTAGTCTATAGTCCAGACTATAGTCTATAGACTAGTCTATAGTCCAGACTATAGTCTATAGACTAGTCTATAGTCCAGACTATATTCTATAGACTAGTCTATAGACCAGACTATAGTCTATAGACTAGTCTATAGACCAGACTATAGTCTATACACTAGTATATAGACCAGACTATAGTATAGTCCGAACTATAGTCTAGTCTACATGCCAGATTATAGACAAATCTATAGACTGATCCAAACCAGCGTATAGTCTATTAAAGCTTTTTAAATAAATGGTCAATTGGGTAGCAAGTAAATATGTATGTATATCCGTATGCATGGTATGTAGAAGTTATGTATTACATTTAATCTGCTCAGAGATTCCTATTACTACAAGTTTAACAACATATTTTTGTCATAGCATACAAATTGGAACGTGTATAAAAGGGTCTGGAGATTTAAAGGAATTAATTGTTATGCACCATTTGCAATTAACTGATTGCGTGAGGAAAGCAAATAAAGACATCTTATACAAAGAATTTGAAAATATGCATATGTCTGTATGTAATACAATGTAAATATAGGGTTTAAAATTTCTTTTAAATCCTTTAGAGTTAAATTGTTTCTCAATTCTCAAGATTTCAGAATAAAACCAGAAAAAATATGGACTGATTAATAAATAAAAAAAAATTGGATTAAAAAACGCTATGCTGGTATAAAAGTTAAAGTGCTACTCTGAACCCGATCTTATATATTGGCTAAGTTCAAAAACGTGGTGCGTTTTTGTAAATCTAAGACCAATTTTTCTTTTTAATGGGCAAAATAAAAACTATAAGAAATATTTGTTCATCTTTTAGAGATTTTTGATATTAAGAGATATATTTCGGAAATTGTTGGAAACTGTGATCAGAAGTCTTGATCAAATTCCTAATACTCTTCCATCACCCGGTTATAAACGACTGTAAAGGAGTGAATATTCTTACTATATAGTGTAGCGAACTGGAGGAAGTTAACCTAGTAAATGCTAAATCGTTCGAGTTTCTTTCTCATACGGCCACTTGAAATAATGAAACAATGGATATTGCGGAACACACAAATCCACCATTAAAAATCGGTCATTCTCAACTAAACTTCCTTACCTTTTGATTTCTGCCACAACATAAATATCTAATCTAAACTGTATTTTACAACCCCACCGCCCCTGTTGGCGATATAATGAAATAAAATATAAAAATCACGTTTTACTCCAGTTTCCCTGCAAGCGACAATCAACATATCTACTTTCATCCTTCCGTTCTAAATTATATAAATGACGTTCCTACTGTTAAATTATGCTGTTCACACTTAACTGTTGACATTGTTTAATCATGCGGAAGACATGAAATTTATTTTGCTATTGCATAAATTTAAATAAGTTTTATTCATCACAGAAGTCAAGACGTAATATCGAATGTCTAATAGACTTTGTATATATACATATATGTTCATATACATATGTATGTATATGTGTATATTTAGTGTGTAAAGGTTTGTTTATATTGGGGTGGGTTTAAAACCACCATTACCGAGTATATCTTAGCTCCTCATATTGATTTTGTTGTTTCTAGTGTAGCACATTAAAATATTGCTCATAGACTTGGATAGGGTAGCTAGGATTTTGACCCGATAGCACTTAGACTCATAACCTTATCGAAACTAGGGCAGATTAGGTTGTGTAGAGCTAGCAATTAAGCGAGAACACTCAGATCATTGTGATAGCTTTAGGATGGACTTTTTATATCTATGATGCCTGAGCGAATGTTGTTACTTCTATATAATTAGATCAAAATTTTAACAGATACATGAAAGAGATCTGTGCCAAGGTACTTCAGTCTGCGCTCTAGTAGAGTTCATCGGATAAAATTCCCGAAGCAGAACCGTAATATATTTGAAGTGTCTGCGTAAACTGAGATCGTGTTCTCTCGAAGGTCAGTGTTCTATAGTGCCTATTCTTGTTTCGACATTATATAAAACCTGTCTTAAATTCGGACTAGTTAGAGGATCTAGTTGGAGGAATTTTTTTTTCCAAAAATATACTCTGTTGATCAGATATACATATTTGTTAATGAAAATGGCTCAAGATGGTTAAGAAAAGAAAAAATAGAACAAAAGATCTGTCTGTCCGTATGCATATTGAAATCAGCTTTAGGAAGACCCCAGATATCTGCGAAATCCGAATCTTTAATGATTATATCAGACATACAGCTTCAGTTTGCTTGATTATAAAAACAAAACAAAGCAAGAACAACACTGTACGTCTGAAGCTGTGTGTTATTATTGTTTTGATATTGCCCAAATCAGGGATGGAATATTGTGTGTGAAAAATTAAGCAAGGATGGGAAAAAAATAAAAAAATTATTTAAAAATTTTAAAAACTAAATACGCAAGTACTAATTTTCTGGTACTTTTTCATTCTTTAACTGGTACCTTTTGAGTTTACCATAATGTTGAAAAGTAAGAGGTACTTTTTTGTTCTTCAAATTGTACTTTTTGAACTGAACCTAGACATATAAAAAAATAAAATTAAAGAAAAATCTAGAAAAGTGGAGTTTCTGGTACTTTTTCGTCAAAGTGCAAAATGTGTTTTTAATTTTCTGAAATATTGAACCTAGATATATAAAATCAGACATATAGGATTCTGATGGAATGAAAATTTATTAGAGTAAAGTTTTTGGCACTTTTTGTCCATCAACTGATACTTTTTTTAATCTTTTATAATATTGAACATAGAAATAACACCCTCAGCGGCCTGATTGAAAGGGCCCAAAAAGGGGACTTTTAGATACTTTAGGTAGAAAGCTAAAAATAGGCACCAATATTTCCTAATAATGGTGCAAATCAAGTGGTTGGCACAGCAAGACTCCAAACAAAAAGCAAATAATACTTTCCATTTATCACCAATAATCTCTACTTGTCGGTTACCATCACCCTTAAATGGACTTTAAAATAAAAAAACACTTGAAAATCTTGCATTCAAAATCTCAATTACTGAGTTTTTTTTTTTTATTTCGAAAAAAGCTTTTTATAATTACTTAAGCCAATACTGTAAAATTAATGTTAGTTTCTATAAAAAAAAGAATATTTTTCATCACCATCATCATCATCATCATTTTTTATTCACACATCATGTCATTTGTAAAACCAAACTACTTCAGTTGCCGCCAACTAGCACTTAATCGGAAAAGCTGTCACTCCAATAGGTCGTCTGTAGTGGTGCGACTGCCTTAAATAGATCAGTACCGACAGCAAAACCATGCGATTCGGATTTTTTAAATTTACTCGAGTCACTTGCCGAACAAACATTCTGTTTATGACGCTGCAGACGGCCGGCTGAAGAAAATGTTCGATTACATTTTGAGCATGTAGGCAATATAGTTTTTTCTCTGTGTTCCTCGGCTATGTGACGTTTAAGATCGGAACTATTAGTGAAACGTCTGGAACACTGGTTGCACTTATTGGTTCGCCTCTCTTCGCGATGTTTTTCCAAGTGAGTGCGATAGGCTCCTTTGATTTTAAACTTTTTGCCACACACCTCACACTTAATGGGTTCGCCTCGATCGTAGACATGTTGTCTTTTGTGTAGGACCAGTGACTGTTTGCGTGAAAAAGTTTGATCACATTCATTGCAGGCGAAATTTTCTGGCGAAGAGTTGCTAGACCGTTTGCGCTTCTGCTTAATAGGATCACCATCTTCATCATTCTCATCTGAAGAGTCATCATCGGATCTGCTTTTATTTTTTGATCTTTTACCATCTGTTGGTGTTACCACAGCCGATTTACGGCGTTTGCGTCCTCTAGTTTTCTTTTTCTTACTGTCGCTAAAATCAGAGGTCTCCGAATCTTCACTAGGTGTTACACTCGCTATATCTGACACTTTGAATTCTTCATCATTGGCTTGCTCTTCATCAGTGGGAGGATCGGAATCGAGAGGTGCATCAATGACCACATAACCCACCGGTCTTCGTATTTTATTCTTGTGACGGGACAATTTCTTTCTCAATTCCTTTTCGGTAGTTTCACACTGGTTTTTGAGTTTTATGGCAATGGCCACATTATCGCAGCAGGTATTGCAAATGTATTGTGGCAAGAAGTCTTTAATAGCTATAGATACCGAGGGGCATATGGTCATTAACATTTCGGCCACAGTACGTTCTTCTAGTTTTTTGAAAATACTAACTAAATTATCTTTAGCACAACATACGCGACATTGATTTTCATCAACTTCTTCCTCCTGCCTTCTAGAGGCACGCAGCGAACTAGAGGGCTCTTCTGACTCATCGTCTTCATTATTCTGAGAGTCTTCGTCATTTTCATCTTTTTCTTCATTATCTTCTCCGTCCTTGTCTTTGTCTTCTTCTTCCTCATCTTCCTCTCCCTCTTCCTCTTCCTCATCATCTTTATCAGCTGATTTTAATTCTTTTATTTTATCTACTGAATTCTCTGGCACTATTACTTCATCGGGTATGATTTCTTCTTCAACTTCATCCTCCACATCCTCCACTTCTTCTATTTCTTCATCATCTGGTTCCACATCTTCTGCCTCAACATCTTCTGCGTCCACATCTTCTACAGTTTCTTCATCCTCGTCTTCCTCATTGTCTTTGTCAGCCTTATCTTTATCTTCTGTTTCCTCAACTTCTTCTTCTTCTTCGTCATTTTCTTTATTTTTTTCATCACCTTGTTTTTTCTTATTTTCATCTTCTAATGCCTTGTTTGCAAGTTCCTCTGCAACAGCTTTCTCCTGATTTTCTTTTTGTAACGAGGTTAGTAACTCTGTTGGCTTTTCTACTGGTGTATAGTCTAATATTTTCGTTGTTTCTGCCAGTTTTGCGTTTAAATTCTCAAGATCGGTGCTCTGAAAAAGTGAAAAAATTGAGATGTTTTTTTAAGATCATCTTTTTATATAGACAAAAAAAAAACAGTAACGGATTTACAACCGATTTAACGTTCTTAATATGAAAATCCATTTTTATAGAAACTTTATGTGATCTCTGAAATTCCCTATTTTCTTAACTGAATCATTATTTAAAGATATAGAACCGATTTCAGTTATTTTCAGATAGAAATCAATTTTTGAAAAACTCTTTTTCATTAAAGACAATGCCAATTTACGTGTAAAAAATCATTTGTAAGGGAAGTATTTGAGTGATCATATTTTGGAGGATTTTCACATACAATCGATTTTATATGAAAATCCATTTTCGATGAAAGTGATCACAAATTTGGATTTTTACATAAAAAATCATTTTTCTTGGAAAACATTGCTTTTTTAAATTGGAAAGTTTTCAAATCCATTTTTATATAGTCTAAATCTAGGCTACAGACTAACTAGCCTATAGTCTAGTCTTTAGTCATGTCTAGTTTATAGTTTAGTCTATAGTATAGTTTATTGTCTAGACCAGACTATTGTCTATTGTCAAGTGTTAAATTTAGTCTATAGTCAAGTCTTTAGTTTAGTCTATAGTTTAATTTATCGTCTAGTCTAACCCATAGTCTAATCTATAGTCTAGTCTAATCTATAATCTAGTGCAGAATCTAATCTATAGTCTAGTCTGGTATATAGTCTGGAATATAGTCTAGTCTAGACTATATATAGACTAAACTAGACTATAGTATATAGTCTAGTCTATAGTCTAGTCTATAGTCTAGTCTATAGTCTAGTCTATAGTCTAGTCTATAGTCTAGTCTATAGTCTATAGTCTAGTCTATAGTCTAGTCTATAGTCTATAGTCTAGTCTATAGTCTAGTCTATAGTCTATAGTCTAGTCTATAGTCTAGTCTATAGTCTAGTCTAGTCTAGTCTATAGTCTAGTCTATAGTCTAGTCTATAGTCTAGTCTATAGTCTAGTCTATAGTCTAGTCTATAGTCTAGTCTATAGTCTAGTCTATAGTCTAGTCTATAGTCTAGTCTATAGTCTAGTCTATAGTCTAGTCTATAGTCTAGTCTATAGTCTAGTCTATAGTCTAGTCTATAGTCTAGTCTATAGTCTAGTCTATAGTCTAGTCTATAGTCTAGTCTATAGTCTAGTCTATAGTCTAGTCTATAGTCTAGTCTATAGTCTAGTCTATAGTCTAGTCTATAGTCTAGTCTATAGTCTAGTCTATAGTCTAGTCTATAGTCTAGTCTATAGTCTAGTCTATAGTCTAGTCTATAGTCTAGTCTATAGTCTAGTCTATAGTCTAGTCTATAGTCTAGTCTATAGTCTAGTCTATAGTCTAGTCTATAGTCTAGTCTATAGTCTAGTCTATAGTCTAGTCTATAGTCTAGTCTATAGTCTAGTCTATAGTCTAGTCTATAGTCTAGTCTATAGTCAAGTCTATAGTCTAGTCTATAGTCTAGTCTATAATCTAGTCTATAGTCTAGCCTATAGTCTAGTCTATAGTCTAGTCTATAGTCTAGTCTATAGTCTAGTCTATAGTCTAGTCTATAGTCTAGTCTATAGTCTAGTCTATAGTCTAGTCTATAGTAGTCTATAGTCTAGTCTATAGTCTAGTCTATAGTCTAGTCTATAGTCTAGTCTATAGTCTAGTCTATAGTCTAGTCTATAGTCTAGTCTATAGTCTAGTCTATAGTCTAGTCTATAGTCTAGTCTATAGTCTAGTCTATAGTCTAGTCTATAGTCTAGTCTATAGTCTAGTCTATAGTCTAGTCTATAGTCTAGTCGATAGTCTAGTCTTAGTCTAGTCTATAGTCTAGTCTATAGTCTAGTCTATAGTCTAGTCTATAGTCTAGTCTATAGTCTAGTCTATAGTCTAGTCTATAGTTAGTCTATAGTCTAAGTCTATAGTCTAGTCTATAGTCTGAGTCTATAGTCTAGTCTATAGTCTAGGTCTATAGTCAGTCTATAGTCTAGTCTATAGTCTAGTCTATAGTCTAGTCGATAGTCTAGTCTATAGTCTAGTCTATAGTCTAGTCTATAGTCTAGTCTAGTCCATAGTCTAGTCTATAGTCTAGTCTATAGTCTAGTCTATAGTCTGGTCTATAGTCTATAGTCTAGTCTATAGTCTAGTCTATAGTCTAGTCTATAGTCTAGTCTATAGTCTAGTCTAGTCTATAGTCTAGTCTATAGTCTAGTCTATAGTCTAGTCTATAGTCTAGTCCATAGTCTAGTCTATAGTCTAGTCTATAGTCTAGCCTATAGTCTAGTCTATAGTCTAGTCTATAGTCTAGTCTATAGTCTAGTCTATAATCTAGTCTATAGTCTAGTCTATAGTCTAGTCTATAGTCTAGTCTATATTCTAGTCTATACTCCAGTCTATAGTCTAGTCTATAGTGTAGTCTATAGTCTAGTCTAGACTATAGTCCAGTCTATAATCTTTCTAATCAATCTACTAATTGCTCACATACTAAAATAGTTTCTTACCTCTTGATAAAAGTTTCCAATGGAATTGTCAAGACAAGTGACATTTGTTGTTGTTGGTTCCGGTGTATTATTGACATTTTCCGAAGATTGATGCTCTATGTTGAGATTGGAAGTATAATGTGTTTGTTGATGATGATGTTCTTGTTGCTGTTCATGAATATGTTGCTGCTGCTGCTGTTGTTCTTGTTGGTGTAATGCTAATTGTGCTTCTTCTTCACCATTAGAGACCGGCAATAACATTTGTTCGCCAATATTTAAACCGATACCAATAGTATTCGATAAATTAAATTCACCATCATCCATTTTGGTATTTTTAATTTATTTATCTTTTTTTGTTTAATTAATTGTTTAATATTATTTATTTATTTAATGATTAAAAGGAATTTAATGTATTTATTAACTAAATAGTGGGTGATGGCGTGAGAGAGAAAGAGAGGGTGCCACTAACTCTCTGGCTCTCTTTTAATACACAATGGAAAAAATCACAATTTTTGCACTAAAACAAATTGTTGTTGTGTGTGTGTATCTGTAAGTAAATTGTACTTCAAAGTTACTTTATTTAATGGATTTTTTATAGTCTATTCTTATAGATATTATTTTTTTCAATGTTAATATTGTTTATAGTTCTTTTGTCTGTTCTTTTAGGTGGGTCTTAATTTGTTTATACTTTTAAAATATTTTCATTTTTTCTGTTCATTTGTTTGTTTTTTTTTTTTTTATTCCGATGGTTGTGTATTCTTGTTAGAAAATTTTCTTCTTGTGTCTGTCAGATTTAACACTAGAATTTTTGTTTTTTCACATTTTTACTATAAATATCATTGTTATTATGTTATTTATGTATTTCGTTTTTCATTAGCACTCATAATAATTTTAAAATTATTTATTTATTAATTTAATTTTTAGGAAATATATTTTTCTTGTTTGTAGTAAAGTAGTTTTTTTCTGTACACCTTTTGTTCTTGTATCCATGAAATACATGTATTTCATTTGATAATTGACGTCTGCTATTGTGAATGTATCTATTCGTTTCGCTGAAGAATAGTAATGCTAATTTGGTGATTTTTGTATTTTATGTTAGTTTTCTACTTTAAAGATTTGGTGGGAGTATTTTAGCATTTTATAACATAAAATTAGAATATTTTTCAAAAATCACGGATCAAATGTTAAGATATGTATATGTTTTTAATTATTAATGAAAATTATACAGGCATGAGTTCGATCCCCAATAAAAGGGAAATTTGACACCGCACACAAATGGAAAAAATATGTTATTAAAAAATCTGAATAATAGAATTCAAATAAATCGTATAAACAGAATACAGAAGGATAAAAAATCCCTATTCATTCACTCTGGACTCTGAATGTTTAATCTTATGATTCATAAAGTACGAGTTAAAGAACGAAAAAGTACCAAAAATCCTTTCCTTGCGATTTTTCATTCACTCTGGACTCTGAATGTTTAATTTTATGTTTATAGGTTCAATATTATAGAAAATTCCAAAAATAATTTTTGATGAACGAAAAAGTACCAACAAGTCTCCACTTATAGGTTCTCATTTATTCCGAGACTATATGCATAATTTAATGATTCTATATTCAATATTAAAGAAAACTTAAAAAGTCTCAATTAAAACGAAAAAGTACAAATCGTCATTGGTGCCAGAGTTAAAAGTAACACCCTATTAGCATATTTAATATGAATCAATTTAATTGATGTGGTTATATTTCTTTGCAAAACTTATTTCTACCTTAAAATAACATTTAAGCGTTTTTTTAGCGTCAACCCACTTATTCGAGTTCCTTTACTTTTCACGCAGTTGGCATTACAAACAAGATTTTCTCTCTAGCATCATCCACCCCAACTCAAACAAAGAGTAGAAAAGAGTAAGCGTATACAAACATTACTTCTGCTTCAAAGAAGTATGTGCCTGAAAGAGACAACTGTATTATGGGGTAACAATACAGCGGTTGATTTATATTTTTGTATACAAAAGCATTGTTTACAACAACAGAAAGCATTTTAATAAAACGTTATTTTGAATATAGGAGAGTTTTGTTTGCGCTATAAAAATAAAACTATTTACACAAACGTAAATCATATAAACATTACTAGGTATTTAAGGTTAGAGCTTATTGTACCATTCACCTTCGGGAAAAGGGTATATGGTTGGACATTCAGTTTGTAATTTCTATAATTTTTGAGTATAGCTACTTATAAGAAGTAAGTAAGTAAGTAAGTAAGTAAGTAAGTAAGTAAGTAAGTAAGTAAGTAAGTAAGTAAGTAAGTAAGTAAGTAAGTAAGGTAAGTAAGTAAGTAAGTAAGTAAGTAAGTAAGTAAGTAAGTAAGTAAGTAAGTAAGTAAGTAAGTAAGAAGTAAGTAAGTAAGTAAGTAAGTAAGTAAGTAAGTAAGTAAGTAAGTAAGTAAGTAAGTAAGTAAGTAAGTAAGTAAGTAAGTAAGTAAGTAAGTAAGTAAGAAGTAAGTAAGTAAGTAAGTAAGAGTAAGTAAGTAAGTAAGTAAGTAAGTAAGTAAGTAAGAAGTAAGTAAGTAAGTAAGTAAGTAAGTAAGTAAGTAAGTAAGTAAGTAAGTAAGTAAGTAAGTAAGTAAGTAAGTAAGTAAGTAAGTAAGTAAGTAAGTAAGTAAGTAAGTAAGTAAGTAAGTAAGTAAGTAAGTAAGTAAGTAAGTAAGTAAGTAAGTAAGTAAGTAAGTAAGTAAGTAAGTAAGTAAGTAAGTAAGTAAGTAAGTAAGTAAGTAAGTAAGTAAGTAAGTAAGTAAGTAAGTAAGTAAGTAAGTAAGTAAGTAAGTAAGTAAGTAAGTAAGTAAGTAAGTAAGTAAGTAAGTAAGTAAGTAAGTAAGTAAGTAAGTAAGTAAGTAAGTAAGTAAGTAAGTAAGTAAGTAAGTAAGTAAGTAAGTAAGTAAGTAAGTAAGTAAGTAAGTAAGTAAGTAAGTAAGTAAGTAAGTAAGTAAGTAAGTAAGTAAGTAAGTAAGTAAGTAAGTAAGTAAGTAAGTAAGTAAGTAAGTAAGTAAGTAAGTAAGTAAGTAAGTAAGTAAGTAAGTAAGTAAGTAAGTAAGTAAGTAAGTAAGTAAGTAAGTAAGTAAGTAAGTAAGTAAGTACGTAAGTAAGTAAGTAAGTAAGTAAGTAAGTAAGTAAGTAAGTAAGTAAGTAAGTAAGTAAGTAAGTAAGTAAGTAAGTAAGTAAGTAAGTAAGTAAGTAAGTAAGTAAGTAAGTAAGTAAGTAAGTAAGTAAGTAAGTAAGTAAGTAAGTAAGTAAGTAAGTAAGTAAGTAAGTAAGTAAGTAAGTAAGTAAGTAAGTAAGTAAGTAAGTAAGTAAGTAAGTAAGTAAGTAAGTAAGTAAGTAAGTAAGTAAGTAAGTAAGTAAGTAAGTAAGTAACCTAGAAATGCAACACGCAGCATATTGATTGAATAATTTTTTATAAAATGGGACTTTCTGGTACTTTTTTTGGCATTCAATTGATACTTTTTGTATTTTCTGAATTATTGAACCCCGAAACATAAATTCAGACAAAGGATCCTCCTGGAATGAATATTTATAAGAATAAATCAACTGGTACTTTTTGAATCTTTTAGAATAGAAACTAGACACACAGTATACTGATTAATTGAGCTTACATAAATGGGTACTTTTTCGTGTTGAAACTGGTAATGTTTTCATTTTCTGAATTATTGAACCTCGAAACACAAATTTATACATATAGGATCCTGATGGAATGAACATTTGAAAGATTAAAACTTTTGGTACTTTTTCGTCATTTAAATTGTACTTTTTTGATTTTCGTTTAAATATTGAATATAAAAACATAAAATCAGACATATAGGATCCCCAATGGAATGAAAATTTTTAAGAGTTAACTCTGCAACTGGTAATGTTTTGATTTTCTGAATTATTGAACCTCGAAACACAAATTTATACATATAGGATCCTGATGGAATGAAAATTTGAAAGATTAAAACTTTTTGGTACTTTTTCGTCATTTAAATGGTACTTTTTTGCTTTTCGTTTAAATATTGAATATAAAAACATAAAATCAGACATATAGGATCCATAATGGAATGAACATTTTTACTCTTTGGTACTTTTTGTTCTTTTAACTGGTACTTTTTGAATGAAAATCTATTAAAGGGCGTCTTTTTGGAACTTTTTCGTTTACCAACTGGTATCTTTTTGATATCTAAAAACACTATGATGAAGGGTATATAAGATTCGGCCCGAATATAAATCACTTATTCGATTTTAATATTGAAATAAAAATGTTAATTCTTTGAAATAAAACGAGATAAAAACATTGTGGAAATTTATGTTGATGGCACATGTTTGCCTATAAAATATAATATTGTTTATATTGGCGTTTTCCGGGCTACTTAATTAATTTCCAACAAAATTGCTTAATTTATGAACTAAAATATAAATAAAATTTGAAGAAAATCTGCAAATCTGGGTGTGTGTGTGTATAGAAAATCTTATGAAATTTGCTATCTATAGAATAATAAAGTATATGAATATTTGGCAAATTTACTATATTTCAGTTTGGCTAAATAATGTCTTTTAAACATTATTAACTTCTAAATTTATCTGTTTCTTTCTTAGGTATCATTATTAAAGGTCATTTATTAAATTACATATTAATTGTTTTAATTTAATACTGGCCATTAGTACATTTAATTCATTCTTTCTTTATTTATAAATTTATTTGATAAAGTCATGAAGAGGCCATAAAATGTTGTTTTATTTGTTTCATCAAGACATTTCTAATTGTTTGAAAATTTATGGCCGGAAATTATTTGCTAATGTTTAATATAATTTAAGCAATTAATTTATCTGATATAAATAAAAATGTTAAATATTTTTCTTAAGCGCAATTTGTATATCATTCAAATGAAATTAAAAATAGTACCATTTAAATGACAAAAAAGTACCACAAAATTCCCTTTTTTAAAAAAAATCTATGTTCAAGTATTATAAAAGATTAAAAAAAAGTACCACTTGAAGAGGAAAAAGTAGCAAAAAATTGACTTTTAATAAATGTTCATTCCATTAGGATCTAGGTTCAATATAGCAGAAAATCCTAAAAGTACTAATTTAACAACGAAAAAGTACCATAAATCCTGTCCTACAGATTTTCATTCATTCAGCACCCTGAAAGTTTAATTTTATATTTCATTAATTTTTCCATCCCTGTTTAATTTAACACACACAATTTTCCATTCCTGACAAAAATTCTCATTCTTTTTAAAGGTTTTCTCTGTCTCTTACTCATATCTCCTTTATTTAGGGACCATTTGTGCTGATCTTCTCGATTTATAAAGCTGGAGGTCCACACTACGCGTTTTAGCGTTTTTGTATTTGTATTTGTATCACCATTGAATTTTAATTTATAAAAATTGATAAAAACACAAATTGTCAAAATCAGCTGACATGTTCGTGCAACGCTTGTGACGCTTACACGCGTCTATGCGTCAATGCATTCTAAGCTTTTGTGCTTGTAACTAGGGTTCTATAAATTGACTTTCGAATAATCGAACAATCTCAACTTTTTGTTGAAAAAAGTCGAAGTCGACTATTTTGTTCCAAAAAAGTTGATAACTCGACTATCGTCTATGAAAAAAGTCGAAAAGTCGACTTTGTAAATAAAAGTCGGAAAAAGTCGAAAAAAGTCGAAAAAGTCAGAAAAAAGTCAGAAAAAAGTCGGAAAAAGTCGAAAAAAGTCGAAAACTCGAAAATAGTAGAAAAAGTCAAAAATAGTCGTCTATCGTCAATGAAAAAAGTCGAAAAGTCGACTATTTTGTTCCAAAAAAGTCGAAAAATCGAAAAAAAAGTCGAAAAGTCGGAAAAAATCGGAAAAAGTCGAAAACTCGAAAATAGTAGAAAAAGTCAAAAATAGTCGACTATCGTCTATGGAAAAAAGTCGAAAAGTCGACTATTTTGTTCCAAAAAAGTCGAAATAAGTCGGAAAAAGTCGAAACCTCGAAAATAGTAGAAAAAGTCAAAAATAGTCGAAAATTTTAAAAAAGTGGAAAAAAAGTCAAAAACTCTAAAGTCGGAAAAACTCGAAAAAAGTAAAAAAATAGTCGTAAAAAGTCGAAAGAAGTCAAAAAGTCGCGAAAAATCGAAAAGTCGGAAAAAGTCGAATATTTATAAAATACTAAAAGTCGAAAAGTCTAAAAGTCGACTTTTAATTAAATGAAAAAAGTCGAAAAATCGACTTTTCATAAAATGCAAAAAGTCGAAAAGTCGACATTTCATTTTAACTATAGAACCCTACTTGTAACTTGCAGCAAACAACAGCATTGATACTACTTTTTTGACAGACGCGTAGAATGCGTGGTGTGGACCTCCAGCTTAATGTGTGCCTTACAAATATTACAACAAACACATAATACCCATCCCATTATAGTGGCATTTGAGTATAAAAACACCCTAACTTTTAACTCTTTAATCTCTCTTAATTCCAAAAAGAAATATTTAATTAAATGACATTTCTTTCAATTACTTATCATATTTAGTAAGTAAAGTAATTAAGTATTTACTAAGCCATAAGTTAGGTAAACCAACAAACAAAAATGTGTTTGTATGATGCCAACAGAAACCGAAAAAGTTATAAAAAACATAATAAATAATTAAACACTTGTGAAAATACCTGAAATATAACCAACACAACAACAAAATTCTATAGACATTTTAAGTAAGATTTGACAAAAAAGGAAAATTGTATCAAAGTTCTAAGGACACACATCTAAACTGCTAACAAAAATGTGCAGTAGTAGAACTGGTATACATAGTAAAATGACCCAAGTGCATAAACATACAAATATGTAAATAATTAAATTCACATTTTCAAAAGTTCTTTAATTGAGTTTATCTTATCAAATGATATTAAAAATCAAAATATTACTTGTTTTTAGTTGATTTTTATTTTCTTCATGTTTTTTTTTATTCTCTATCCACATGAAATCGCTTTAATATTCAAATGAAATTTCAAAGCTTTTTTCAAGGACACAACACCGTATATAATAATGACATGAACACATTAACAAGTTTATCGTACAGTCTCAAACCAAAGATAAAAATTTATATCCTTAAAATTGTGTCAACGAATGAACGTCTCAATATTGCCAGCCAAACATAACTGCATACATACATACATATGTATGTATGTATAGGTGGAGACAATGTTTAACTTTTGCTTTTAGAATTAAACTAAAAATTGGATTATAACTCAGGCCACTATAGCAGGGACAGCATTAGGCGTTTGTGCTGATACTGATTCAACATCCACCCTATAGCCTCGTCCATACTCTAATCTATAGTTTAGTGTACTCGCTAGTCTATAGCTTTGTCTAGTCTATAGTCTAGTCTATAGTCTAGTCTATAGTCTAGTCTATAGTCTAGTCTAGTCTATAGTCTAGTCTATAGTCTAGTCTAGTCTATAGTCTAGTCTATAATCTAGTCTATAGTCTAGTCAATAGTCTAGTCTATAGTCTAGTCTATAGTCCTAGTCTATAGTCTAGTCTAGCTAGTCTAGTCTATAGTCTAGTCTATAGTCTAGTCTATAGTCTAGTCTATAGTCTAGTCTATAGTCTAGTCTATAGTCTAGTCTATAGTCTCTATAGTCTAGTCTATAGTCTAGTCTATAGTCTAGTCTATAGTCTAGTCTATAGTCTAGTCTATAGTCTAGTCTATAGTCTAGTCTATAGTCTAGTCTATAGTAGTCTATAGTCTAGTCATAGTCTAGTCTATAGTCTAGTCTATAGTCTAGTCTATAGTCTAGTCTATAGTCTAGTCTATAGTCTAGTCTATAGTCTAGTCTATAGTCTAGTCTATAGTCTAGTCTATAGTCTAGTCTATAGTCTAGTCTATAGTCTAGTATAGTCTAGTCTATAGTCTAGTCTATAGTCTAGTCTATAGTCTAGTCTATAGTCTAGTCTATAGTCTAGTCTATAGTCTAGTCTATAGTCTAGTCTATAGTCTAGTCTATAGTCTAGTCTATAGTCTAGTCTATAGTCTAGTCTATAGTCTAGTCTATAGTCTAGTCTATAGTCTAGTCTATAGTCTAGTCTATAGTCTATAGTCAGTCTAGTCTAGTCTAGTCTATAGTCTATAGTCTAGTCTAGTCTAGTCTATAGTCTAGTCTATAGTCTAGTCTATAGTCTAGTCTATAGTCTAGTCTATAGTCTAGTCTATAGTCTAGTCTATAGTCTAGGTCTATAGTCTAGTCTATAGTCTAGTCTATAGTCTAGTCTATAGTCTAGTCTATAGTCTAGTCTATAGTCTAGTCTATAGTCTAGTCTATAGTCTAGTCTATAGTCTAGTCTATAGTCTAGTCTATAGTCTAGTCTATAGTCTAGCTATAGTCTAGTCTATAGTCTAGTCTATAGTCTAGTCTATAGTCTAGTCTATAGTCTAGTCTATAGTCTAGTCTATAGTCTAGTCTATAGTCTAGTCTATAGTCTAGTCTATAGTCTAGTCTATAGTCTAGTCTATAGTCTAGTCTATAGTCTAGTCTATAGTCTAGTCTATAGTCTAGTCTATAGTCTAGTCTATAGTCTAGTCTATAGTCTAGTCTATAGTCTAGTCTATAGTCTAGTCTATAGTCTAGTCTATAGTCTAGGCTATAGTCTAGTCTATAGTCTAGTCTATAGTCTAGTCTTAGTCTAGTCTATAGTCTAGTCTATAGTCTAGTCTAGTCTAGTCTATAGTCTAGTCTATAGTCTAGTCTATAGTTAGTCTATAGTCTAGTCTATAGTTAGCTATAGTCTAGTCTATAGTCTAGCTATAGTCTAGTCTATAGTCTAGTCTATAGTCTGTCTATAGTCTAGTCTATAGTCTAGTCTATAGTCTAGTCTATAGTCTAGTCTATAGTCTAGTCTATATGTTAGTCTATAGTCTAGTCTATAGTCTAGTCTATAGTCTAGTCTATAGTCTAGTCTATAGTCTAGTCTATAGTCTAGCTATAGTCTAGTCTATAGTCTAGTCTATAGTCTAGTCTATAGTCTAGTCTATAGACTAGACTAGACTGTTTTCGTAGATCTTAAAAAGCAGAATTTTCAAAAGGATATTAATAGAACGATGCAATATTTGGATTCTGATGATATTTGGGGCCTGCAGTAACTTCATTTCAAAAAAATTGTACCAACCGACAGACATATCTAGGTTGTTTTCATTATATATAAGGTTTAAGAATAAAGTGTATATCAAACTTATTTATACATAAATATATATACGATTTTCAGGAAGATGAAGTGTAAGATAAAGGCAACTATTGAAAGATTAAACAAGAGATACTTGAATTTTTTTGTAACTACTTATAGTTGAAAAATTAAAGGGCGTTAAACGTAAAATGAAAATTAAGTACTTATGCATACACATACTTATGTATGTATGAATTTATGTATGCAATTAATTTAATTAATATCTTTGTCATTATTTCTTAAATAAGTAAGACGTTGTAATTTGCTATTCGCAGCCTACATACAGATATATTTACATGTGTATGTATATAATTTGAATATTCCTACAACGTTATTGTGGGAAGGGTTTACGTGAATACTCATAAATAGGTTGATTACATTTAGCACATATTTTAAGTGACCAGAAATCCATAATTTATATGATGAATCGGTTTGCATTGGATCCTGGCAGTTTTGCAACAAGTGAATTTTGTGCTGCAGTTAAAAGAATTTTCAATCTTAATTTAATAAATATTTTAATGCAAAACCAAAAATTTCAGTTTACAAACACTTTTAATTCAAATTTAATCTTCTTTACACTTGTTTGCATTTTGCGCATAGTTTGCTTTAAACTCCTACTTTTTTCACTTTAAAAATTCATTTCTTTTTTTTTCAAACTAATTCTATTGAAAATATAAATATATAAGTGACTTAATCTTAAAGAAAATTTACTTTTAATACTTCAACTTACCAACTTATCATTCAGCAACTAGTATATCGTCTCAACTGTAAAGATATATAAGAAAGAAAACAAGAAAAAAAATTGAGAAAAATAATATTATTCGGAGAATAGAGGTTTTAAAAAGGGCAAAAGTTAAAAAGGAAAGATATATAATAGGTTATATTAAAAATGTAGTATACAAATATGATCTTTAGGTAGATTTTCGAAAGAGTGCCTTTATGGATTCTTGGGTCATATAAAATTGTCGAACTTTATCATGTCTAGTCTATAATGTAGTCTTTAGTCTTGTGTATAGTCAGGTCTATAGACTAGTCTATAGTCTAGTCTATAGTCTAGTCCATTGTCTAGTGTGTAGTCTACTCTGCAGACTAGTCTATAGTCTAGTCGATAGTCTAGTCGATAGTCTAGTCGATAGTCTAGTCGATAGTCTAGTCGATAGTCTAGTCGATAGTCTAGTCGATAGTCTAGTCTATAGTTTAGTCTTTTGTCTATTCTATAGTCTAGTCTATAGTCTAGTCTATAGCCCAGTCTATAGTCCAGTCTATAGTCTAGTCTATAGTCTAGGCTATACTCTAGTCTATTTTATAGTCTATTGTCTACAATATAGTCTAGTCGATAGTCAAGTCTATATTCTACACTATAGTCTAGTCTATAGTTAGTTTATAGCCTAGTATATAGTCTACTCCGCAGACTAGTCTATAGTCTAGTCCTTAGGCTAGTCGATAGTCTAGTCTATGGTTTAGTCTTTTGTCTAATATTTTTGTTTAGTCTATAGTCTAGTCTATAGTCTAGTCTATAGTCTAGTCTATAGTCTAGTCTATAGTCTAGTCTATAGTCTAGTCTATAGTCTAGTCTATAGTCTAGTCTACAGTCTAGTCTATAGTTTAGTCTATAGTCTAGTCTACAGTCTATAGTCTATTCTATAGTCTAGTCGATAGTCCAGTCTATAGTCTGGTCTACAGTCTAGTCTACAACCTAGTCTACAGTCTAGTCTATAGTCTAACCTACAGTCTAGTCTATAGTCTAGTCTATAGTCTAGTCTATAGTCTAGTCTATAGTCTAGTCTATAGTCTAGTCTATAGTCTAGTCTATAGTCTAGTCTATAGTCTATAGTCTAGTCTATAGTCTAGTCTATAGTCTAGTCTATAGTCTAGTCTATAGTCTAGTCTATAGTCTAGTCTATAGTCTAGTCTATAGTCTAGTCTATAGTCTAGTCTATAGTCTAGTCTATAGTCTAGTCTATAGTCTAGTCTATAGTCTAGTCTATAGTCTAGTCTATAGTCTAGTCTATAGTCTAGTCTATAGTCTAGTCTAGTTAGTCTATAGTCTAGTCTATAGTCTAGTCTATAGTCTAGTCTATAGTCTAGTCTATAGTCTAGTCTATAGTCTAGTCTATAGTCTAGTCTATAGTCTAGTCTATAGTCTAGTCTATAGTCTAGTCTATAGTCTAGTCTATAGTCTAGTCTATAGTCTAGTCTATAGTCTAGTCTATAGTCTAGTCTATACTAGTCTATAGTCTCTACTAGTCTAGTCTATAGTCTAGTCTATAGTCTAGTCTATAGTCTAGTCTATAGTCTAGTCTATAGTCTAGTCTATAGTCTAGTCTATAGTCTAGTCTATAGTCTAGTCTATAGTCTAGTCTAGTCTATAGTCTAGTCTATAGTAGTCTAGTAGTCCTATAGTCTAGTCTATGTCTAGTCTATAGTCAGTCTATAGTCTAGTCTATAGTCTAGTCTATAGTCTAGTCTATAGTCTAGTCTATAGTCTAGTCTATAGTCTAGTCTATAGTCTAGTCTATAGTCTAGTCTATAGTCTAGTCTATAGTCTAGTCTATAGTCTAGTCTATAGTCTAGTCTATAGTCTAGTCTATAGTCTAGTCTATAGTCTAGTCTATAGTCTAGTCTATAGTCTAGTCTATAGTCTAGTCTATAGTCTAGTCTATAGTCTAGTCTATAGTCTAGTCTATAGTCTAGTCTATAGTCTAGTCTATAGTCTAGTCTATAGTCTAGTCTATAGTCTAGTCTATAGTCTAGTCTATAGTCTAGTCTATAGTCTAGTCTATAGTCTAGTCTATAGTCTAGTCTATAGTCTAGTCTATAGTCTAGTCTATAGTCTAGTCTATAGTCTAGTCTATAGTCTAGTCTATAGTCTAGTCTATAGTCTAGTCTATAGTCTAGTCTATAGTCTAGTCTATAGTCTAGTCTATAGTCTATAGTCTAGTCTAGTCTATAGTCTAGTCTAGTCTATAGTCTATATAGTCTAGTCTAGTCTATAGTCTAGTCTAGTCTATAGTCTAGTCTAGTCTAGCTAGTCTAGTCTATAGTCTAGTCTAGTCTATAGTCTAGTCTAGTCTATAGTCTAGTCTATAGTCTAGTCTATAGTCTAGTCTAAGTCTATAGTCTAGTCTATAGTCTAGTCTAGTCTAGTCTATAGTCTAGTCTAGTCTATAGTCTAGTCTATAGTCTAGTCTATAGTCTAGTCTATAGTCTAGTCTATAGTCTAGTCTATAGTCTAGTCTATAGTCTAGTCTATAGTCTAGTCTATAGTCTAGTCTATAGTCTAGTCTATAGTCTAGTCTATAGTCTAGTCTATAGTCTAGTCTATAGTCTAGTCTATAGTCTAGTCTATAGTCTAGTCTATAGGCTAGTCTATAGTCTAGTCTATAGTCTAGTCTATAGTCTAGTCTATAGTCTATTCTATAGTCTAGTCTATAGTCTAGTCTATAGTCTAGTCTATAGTCTAGTCTATGATCTAGTCTATGTCTAGGTCTATAGTCTATAGTCTAGTCTATAGTCTAGTCTATAGTCTAGTCTATAGTCTAGTCTATAGTCTAGTCTATAGTCTAGTCTATAGTCTAGTCTATAGTCTAGTCTATGGTCTAGTCTATGGTCTAGTCTATAGTCTAGTCTATAGTCTAGTCTATAGTCTAGTCTATAGTCTAGTCTATAGTCTAGTCTATAGTCTAGTCTATAGTCTAGTCTAAAGTCTAGTCTATAGTCTAGTCTATAGTCTAGTCTATAGTCTAGTCTATAGTCTAGTCTATAGTCTAGTCTATAGTCTAGTCTATAGTCTAGTCTATAGTCTAGTCTAGTCTATAGTCTAGTCTAGTCTAGTCTAGTCTAGTCTAGTCTAGTCTAGTCTATAGTCTAGTCTAGTCTATGGTCTAGTCTAGTCTATAGTCTAGTCTAGTCTATAGTCTAGTCTAGTCTAGTCTAGTCTAGTCTAGTCTAGTCTAGTCTAGTCTATAGTCTAGTCTAGTCTATGGTCTAGTCTATAGTCTAGTCTAGTCTATAGTCTAGTCTAGTCTATAGTCTAGTCTAGTCTATAGTCTAGTCTATAGTCTGGTCTATAGTCTAGTCTATAGTCTAGTCTATATATAGTCTAGTCAATAGTCTAGTCTATAGTCTAGTCTAGAGTCTAGTCTTTAGTCTAGTCTATAGTCTAGTCTAGTATATAGTCTAGTATATAGTCTAGTATATAGTCTAGTCTATAGTCTAGTCTATAGACTAGTCTATGGTCTAGTCTATAGTCTAGTCTATAGACTAGTCTATAGCCTAGTCTATAGTCTAGTCTATAGAGGTTACCTTACAAAAAAACAATAGCAGTGTTAATACGGAACGTAACTGCGATAACACCTCATACAGTTTTATAATCGGTGATAATTGAATTCTAGGGATTTCGGAAAAAACACAGATTTATCAAATTATATTATTTTCGCTCAATTTAATTAAAACGAAAAAAATGGGAATAGTTATTGCAAATACATTTTAAGAGAAGTGTTAATATAAATAAATATTAATTGATTTCAGAGGATTTACGAAAAAAACTCAGTATTAAGCAATATAAAAAGGGACACAATATTTTTTTCACATCTCTCCTCTATACATTTATATGGAACGGAACAAATGTGCGAATACCATTAAAATATTATTTAAAAAATTAATGATGAATAATGTCATTTGACTTTTTCTCAAGTTTTTTTTTTCTTGAATTTCATTTAACTTTTGTCACCATATACTTATGTACATACAAGTTAATTTCCATTGAAATTAATAAAAACACATTTAAATCTTTTCATTTCAACTACATACACACATACATACACATGTTTTTTACTTGACAGTAATTTTAAATATCCATGCAAAAAGGAAAATGGAAAATTTTGAATGAATGTATTTGTATATTTTAAAATTAACCGAAAAGAAACACTTTTTATTGAAATTGAAAAGCCGAAAAAAAAATCAACTCCTCCGTAATTCACATAAATGTCATAAAAATACAGCAATCATAAAATGTAATACAAAATAGATTGAGATAAAAAAATTATTGAACCAAGCATTATCATTTACATAGTTCCATTTCTCTTATTACTTTAAAGTTTATAACTAACTTGATATGTACGGGCTATAGTATATTGACTAGTACAAGGACTAGTCTATGGATTGGTTTACAGACCAGACTATTATGTATATAGACTAGCCTACGGACCGGTCTATAGGCTAGTCTTATCTATTTACTAGACTGTTGACAATAGTTGAGTCTACAGTCTAGACTATAGTCAAGTCTATAGGCTATAGTCTAGTCTATAGTCTAGTCTATAGTCTAGTCTATAGTCTAGTCTATAGTCTAGTCTATAGTCTAGTCTACAGTCTAGTCTATAGTCTAGTCGATAGCCCAGTCTATAGTCTAGTCTATAGTCTAGTCTACAGTCTATAGTCTATTCTATAGTCTAGTCGATAGTCCAGTCTATAGTCTGGTCTACAGTCTAGTCTACAACCTAGTCTACAGTCTAGTCTATAGTCTAATCTACAGTCTAGTCTATAGTCTAGTCTATAGTCTAGTCTATAGTCTAGTCTATAATCTAGTCTATAGTCTAGTCTATAGTCTAGTCTACAGTCTAGTCTATAGTCTAGTCTATAGTCTAATCTATAGTCTAGTATATAGATAGTCTAGTCTATAGTATAGTCTATAGTCTAGTCTATAGTCTAGTCTATAGTCTAGTCTATAGTCTAGTCTATAGTCTATAGTCTAGTCTATATAGTCTAGTCTATAGTCTATACTAGTCTATAGTCTAGTCTATAGTCTAGTCTATAGTCTAGTCTATAGTCTAGTCTATAGTCTAGTCTATAGTCTAGTCTATAGTCTAGTCTATAGTCTAGTCTATAGTCTAGTCTATAGTCTAGTCTATAGTCTAGTATATAGTCTATAGTCTAGTCTATAGTCTAGTCTATAGTCTAGTCTATAGTCTAGTCTATAGTCTATCTAGTCTATAGTCTAGTCTATAGTCTAGTCTATAGTCTAGTCTATAGTCTAGTCTATAGTCTAGTCTATAGTCTAGTCTATAGTCTAGTCTATAGTCTAGTCTATAGTCTAGTCTATAGTCTAGTCTATAGTCTAGTCTATAGTCTAGTCTATAGTCTAGTCTATAGTCTAGTCTATAGTCTAGTCTATAGTCTAGTCTATAGTCTAGTCTATAGTCTAGTCTATAGTCTAGTCTATAGTCTAGTCTATAGTCTAGTCTATAGTCTAGTCTATAGTCTAGTCTATAGTCTAGTCTATAGTCTTAGTCTATAGTCTAGTCTATAGTCTAGTCTATAGTCTAGTCTATAGTCTAGTATAGTCTAGTCTATAGTCTAGTCTATAGTCTAGTCTAGTCTATAGTCTAGTCTATAGTCTAGTCTATAGTCTAGTCTATAGTCTAGTCTATAGTCTAGTCTATAGTCTAGTCTATAGTCTAGTCTATAGTCTAGTCTATAGTCTAGTCTATAGTCTAGTCTATAGTCTAGTCCTATAGTCTAGTCTATAGTCTAGTCTATAGGTCTAGTCTATAGTCTAGTCTATAGTCTAGTCTAGTCTAGTCTAGTCTATAGTCTAGTCTATAGTCTAGTCTATAGTCTAGTCTATAGTCTAGTCTATAGTCTAGTCTATAGTCTAGTCTATAGTCTAGTCTATAGTCTAGTCTATAGTCTAGTCTATAGCCTAGTCTATAGTCTAGTCTATAGTCTAGTCTATAGTCTAGTCTATAGTCTAGTCTATAGTCTAGTCTATAGTCTAGTCTATAGTCTAGTCTATAGTCTAGTCTATAGTCTAGTCTATAGTCTAGTCTATAGTCTAGTCTATAGTCTAGTCTATAGTCTAGTCTATAGTCTAGTCTATAGTTTAGTCTATAGTCTAGTCTATAGTCTAGTCTATAGTCTAGTCTATAGTCTAGTCTATAGTCTAGTCTATAGTCTAGTCTATAGTCTAGTCTATAGTCTAGTCTGTAACCTAGTCCATAATCTAGTCTATAACATAGCCAATAGTCTAGTTTATAGTCTAGTCTATATTCTAGTCTATAGTAAAATCTATAGTCTAGTCTATAGTCTAGCCTATAGTCTAGCTTATAGTCTTGTCTATAGTCTAGTCTCTAGTCTAGTCTATAGTCTAGTCTATAGCCTAGTCTATCGTGCAGTCTATAGCCTAATCTAAAGTCTAGTCCATAGTTTAGTCTATTGCCTAGTCCTTTAGTCTAGTCAGTAGCCTAGTTTATAGTCTAGTCTATAGTTGACTGTAGTCTTGTCTATAGTCTAGTCTATGGTCAAGTCAATAGTATAGTCTATAGTCTAGTGTATAGTCTAGTCTATGGTCTCAACTTATCTTGAGTTATCACATGGACTAGTACATGATGTAGTCTATGGACTAATCTGTTGACGAGTTTATGGACTAGCCTATTGACCAAGACCACCACTCTTGAAAGCACTTTGGGATGATGTAATAAAAATATTTACGTTATTTTTTTATATTACAAATTTCATTAATTTTTTTTTGTTATTTTTTTTTTTATTAATATTTTTTTCTTAACATAAACAGACAGACAAACATTTAATATAACAACTTAGATGTGTAAATGGAAATGATTTGGATCAATAACATGGGCGGGTTCTTCAGGATGAATAACAGAGGGACCTTTAATTCTAGCCTCATATTGACCTGGAATTAGTAATATAAACGATAATAAATATGAAGAACATAAATAATTGTACAATTATTACAAGGGAATTGTGCGTAAATTGTGGTAATAAAAATGTAAATTATATTACAAGCAATTTGTGTAATTGTTGTTGGACTTACCAATTATCTTTTGAATTATACTGTTGGCATCCAAACGTTGAGGTTGGCCATTAGCCAAGGCGGTCAAGCAGATAACGAAAGTCAACAAAACAGCGAAAATTACGAATTTTGACATTTTGTTTATTTAATTTAATTGTTATTTAACACGTAATTAGTTATAAAGAAAAGTTAAAAGTGAAGACTTAAAAACTTCTACTGTTTGTTTTGAGATTAAGATATTGATTACTATGATTGTGCCAAGTTTTCAAGGTATTTATATATATTTGAAAATCTTTTAGGGGATAAGAAATAAATAAACTAACACACCTACATACCTATGAATAAATTCTTTAAAATTTTGTTTAATTAAAGAAAACGTAAAACTAAAACAAACAAGACGTTATAAACAAGAATTATTCAAAAAAAAAAGAAAAAAAACAAATCGGTATTGGTCAAAAGGGAAATATTATTAATTAAAAAAAAAAACTTTTGTTTGCATTAATTCTGAAATATTTTCGAAAATACTCTTGTTTTGTTTTTATCTCTTGCTTTTGAAAAAAAAAGAAGAAAAGAACATTGTTTATGAGTTTGGGAATTCCAGCGTCTTAGAAGTGGCGTCAAACATTCCCCAATAAAAGCAAAACAAGTTGCGCTAAAGATGAAACGTGATCTTCAAAAATTTCTATCTTTATTTTGTCACTTCTATAGAGTTGTTGTTGCTGTTCTTATTATTATTACTGCAAAATATTTATACGTTAGAATATTCTTTTTATTAACCCTTATCTAATATAAAACTTTAAGAAAAAAAAAATAATAATACTAAATAACAACAAAGGTAGTTGGTATATTTAGAAGTCTTTTATTAAACCAGTTTAGCAGACGCCAGAAGATGTTTATCATTTTGGTTATAGTGTTAAAAAAAATATTTGTTTAGTTTTTTTCTTAATATAACAAACAATAAAAACAATAATCAATTGAAAAGCTTTAGGAATTCTTTTACCTCATTAGATAGTTTACCGAATAAAATACACCTTGAGAAATTTGTAAACCGGGTAACCCACTTGATATGTGGGGCTAAATCGTAGAAAACTATAGCCATATACCCTTTAACATAAAAATCTGTTGTAAGACGAAGCCACTTTGTGGTAATTTTCGTACATGGTCCATGTACAAGCTTTTTCCTCAAGTCCTCCAACTATCTAATCTCGTACCATTGCTGCCCCGTTGCTTAACTGCCGAGATACCGAAACATCAATTCCATTTACAACCACGCAAACGGAATCGGTAGACCGAAATACGATTCCATCAAATAAGTCAATTACAAGTTCTTACTCACACTGAGGTTAGTCTAGTATGAATTGAGTCAACCCTAAACATACCTTGACAAAAAAGGAAAATTTAATTATATCACTTGTATAAGATACCATTCATACATCACCATTTAACCCAGCATCTCTCTCTCAATTATCGGAAAACATTTGATACATTCAATCTAAGGTGAGGTCCACATTTCCGCGTAAATACATTTAATATCATATACACTTGATATCAACTCATTGCTGACGCTTAACCCCACAGTCACTCCTCTGCGTGATGTCTGCGGTCTTTTTCGGCAACACCACCACCGAACTTATTCCGAAATATAGATCAGACTTTTAATCTACGTTCTCTTTCCAAGAGTCCGAAACTCTAGCCTGTGGGCCATCGGTTCCTGCTTAGCCCCACAGTGACCCCTCTGCGTGATGTCTGCGGTCTTTTTCGACTTATACCGAAATATAGATTTCACCGTGTATCAGAGTTTTTACCTACATTCCTTTCCCGCAAATTTGGTTTTAAACTACAGCCACTACGTGCACACCGAAGGGACCATACCAATAAACGGGACTAGACAAAGTCCGAAACTCTACCCTATTGGGCTATTGGTTCCAGTTTAGCCCCACAGTGACTCCTCTGCGTGATGCCTGTAGTCTTTTTCGACTAATTCCGAAATATAGATTTCACCGTGTATCAGACATTTAACCTACATTCTCTTTCCCAGAGTGTGGGTTTACTCTACAGCTACCACGTGCACACCGAAGATAAAAAGTCGATGCTTCGATTATTTTAAAGACGCTATATAGAATCCTAATCACCAGTTTATAATCCCGGCAGACTAGAGCTCCTGGAAGCAACTCTTTTCCCCCCGGACTGTAATCACATCAAGATGTCATTAGGTAACATGCTTCCTGGGCGAGTAATAAGGTATATAAGTCTTTTCCGATCCTATATATACTTTATTTCCCGAGTACTTATATATATCGGCGTCGATGTAGCCGTGTCCGTCTGTCTATCCATCTGTCTGTCTGTCCGTGTGCATGTTGTAATCAGTTTTTAGAATTCGTCAGATATCTGCGAAATCCGAATATTCAATATTTATCTCAGACATGTTTTCGAGAAGATCGCTTCATTAATAACTGATATATAGGCAAAATTCCGATACAACTCATGAAAATATTACGGTTTTTCTTATTAGGTTTTGTCACAAGCCTTTTCTTTCGTAAAGGGCTTAATATGGTTGAAAATTATTACAATCGGTTCTAAATTTCATACAAATATACATAATCCCGGAACAGGGATCTTTTGTGAATAACTCCCTCTAGAATATCGTAATAACATTTTGCACATATAAATGGAATATCAATAGAAATTGTATTATCTATGGATCGGTCCATAATTGACCATGGCTCCCAAATAAAGAACACTTCCGAAAAGCAATTAAACGAATATAATTCAGTAACAAATAACCATGTGGGAATAAAATCTAACACTAATCTGTTCTGAACATATACGAATTATTGAGGGGGTCGGTCCATAGCTTCCACTATAAAGTCCACTGCAGAAAATCACTTATTCGTAAAAAATTCATGATTAATAATGTTATTGGGTCAGAATTATACTCGAATAGGGTTTGTTTATATACAAATAGTTCTGGATCGGTTCTTTAGGGGTTTGCGAATATGATTTTCATATACATATGTATACAAATCGTTCGTTATGACGAATTTCATCATAGTAAAGTTGTTTATAAAGAAATTAACGACATTCAAGCGATATGCTGAGGAGGACCTAGCATGGGGGCTAGTGTCAAATGAGGCCCGATCAGTACGATTTATGAAAATATCATTTACATAAAATAGGCGCAACTATTTTTGTTGCGACATTGGTATATGTATTTGACATAATTATAAGTTCCCAAAATTTGTCAGGTGTACTCAAGGTATGTGGAACCATTAAAATCAACTAGTTTTCAAAATAACCCCTTTTGTTTCTTTCAGCGTATGAAAGCGAAAAATATTTTATTAAATACCATGCATAATTTTTTAATATTTTTAATAATAAATTAAAATTTTAAAAAAACCGGCTACTTTCATTAAAAATTTGAATTGATTTTTAACTTTTTTTTTTGTTATTTTTTTGTAGTTGATGAAAGCTAACACTTATAGAAATATATATTTGATTATTTTGTTGTCATTGTTTTTGTTGTTGTTATATTTTTTATAAATATTATTGTTTATTAGAAAATAAAATTTTTTTGATATTTGTGAGAAGAAAGAATGAAATATTAAATAATTTTGTGTGTGTTTTATGAAGCGATTTTTATGGTTATTATAGCCTTCACCTTTGTAAGAAGGGTATATATGAGTTTGTCATTCCCTTTGTAATTTCTAAAATATAACTATTAGACCCCGAGTCGATTTAGCCATGTTCGTCTGTCCGTCTGTCTATTCGTATGTAAGTTCAAATCAGTTTTCAGAAGACCCCTGGTATCTAGGAAATCTAAGTCTTCTATAATTCTGTCAGTTATGATTTCTAGAAGAACTCTAGAGATATGAGCAAAATTTCAAAACATATGTACATATATTCTGGAGTCGATTTAGCCATGTTCGTCTGTCCGTCTATCTATTCGTATGTAAGTTCAAATCAGTTTTCAGAAGACCCCTGATATCTAGGAAATCTAAGTCTTCTATAATTATGTCACTTACGTTCTTTAGAAAAAACTCTATAATCATCAAAATCGGTCCATAAATAAGCGAGATATGAGCAAAATTCCAAAACAACCCATGAAAATATTGCGTTTTTTTCTCATTCTTGTTTAGTTTTTTTTCAGAAATTTTGTCACAAGTCTTTTCTTTTGATCAGGACTAAACATGATTAAAAAATATTAGAATCGGTTCAAAATTTCCTATAGCACCCATACAAATTTACATACTTAGGGGAAAAAAAAGATCTATTGTTAATAACTCCCTTTAAAAAAAAAGGTCTTAGCATAAAATTTTGCACACATAAATCAATAGAAATTGTATTATCAGCTAAAATCTCTATGGGTCCTTAATTGACCATAGCTGCCAGTTCTCTTCTGAATATCACTTAATAGTAAATAGTAATAAACTCATGAATTTATAATAAAATCGGTACAAAATTGGACTCGTATATACTCGTGTATATGCAAATCATTCTGTGAAAGTTTATAATTGACCATAGCTCCCATATAAAGCCCTCTGCCGAAAATCACTTAATTGTATATAACTCATTAATTTATAATGATATCGGGATAAAATTTGACTCGAATTTGTTTTGTTTATATAGATATCATTCTGTGAAAGTTTATCCCGATCTGCCCATAATTGACCATAGCTTCCGTATAAAGCCCTCTGCCGAAAATCACTTAATTGCATATAACTCATTAATTTATAATGATATCGGGATAAAATTTGATTTGAATTTGTTTTGTATATATAATATATATATATATATTTGACCATAGCTCCCGTATAAAGCCCTCTGCCAAAAATCACTTAATCGTACATAACTCATGAACTTATAATGATATCGGGTTAAAATTTGTCTAGAATTTGTTTTGTATATATAGAAATCAATCTTTGAATTTATCCCGATCTGCCCATAATTGACCATAGCTTCCAGATAAAGCCGAAAATCACTTAATTGTAAATAACTTATGAATTTATAATGATATCAGGATAAATTTTGACTTGAATTTGTTTTGTATATATAGAAATCATTCTGGGAAAGTTTATACCGATCTGCCCATAATTGACCATAGCTCTCATATAAAGCCCTCTGCCGAAAATCACTTAATCGTACATAACTCATGAATTTATAATGATATCAGGATAAAATTTGACTCGAATTTGTTTTGTATATATAAAAATCATTTTGAGAAAGTTTATACCGATTGGCCCGATA